GTACTTCTGGGAAGTCTCGGTCCACATATTGTTGAAGCCTACCTTGTAGGATTTTGAGCATAACCTTGCTAGCATGTGAAATGAGTGCAATTGTATGGTAGTTGGAGCATTCTTTGGCACTGCCCTTCTTTGGGATTGGGATGTACTCGTAGACTGATCTTTTCCAATCCTCTGGCCACTGCTGAGTTTTCCAAACTTGCTGACATATTGAGTGTAACACCTTAACAGCATCATCTTTTAAGATTTTAAATAGTTAATTTAAAATAGGTCCCTCATACCTAATCCTAATTTTAGCAGCACAGAACTGGAAGGGACCCTATGGATCATTGATTCCAGCCCCTATTCGGGAGACACAGTGGGGAATTGAACTCCCAATCTCTCCTCAACCCTCAGTTCATCCACCTAGCATGATACAAAATTGTTCCCTTAGCATCCCCCAGAGGGGAGGAAAGGTACAATTTAATCAAAGGTGCCATGGAAGTGTTCTTTTTCTCCTTCCCTCTTAGGCAGGCTGTTCACCTCAACAGAAACAATAATATTCAAAAAACATATCATATTTCCTTCCTTGACAAGATTATTCCACAGGGAATTCCCTGAGGGCAAGGTAGGGAGGAACAACTGAGCTGCAAGTTTTGCACGTAGCTGTCATACTGGTAAAGTGAACCACATATTTCCAGTAAAACGGGGCTCCCCCTCATCCCATGTAGAACAAGTCTGGATAACCTATAGTTTTGTTTAGTTTCAGGAAACAAAAGGCCCTTTAGGTTTCCAAGCAGAAAACTTGGCATTGGATGCATTTTTTGCTCCTACGGGCTTGCCTGTAAATGCATGCAAACGGAGGATGGGGCCAAAAAGACCTGGGTATGTTTTCCTTCTCCTTCCTTGCTCTCCCTCTTTATTCACTTGTATTACTCAATTTCTGCTGGGGATGCAAATCTCCTGCAATAAGGGTAACCAGAGCCACTGCAGAATTATATTCTGGAACCCAGCCTTGTTGTTAGTTAAAGTTGTTAAAGCATGGGGGGTCAATTTAGTGCAGATGGGGGTCCAGAAAAAGCCCGGGAGGAACACATGCAGCCTGCTGCTTATCAAAGGAAAAATAAGCACTGCTGCTGCGAGTAACCCAGCTTTTTAAATCTCTCCCTCCCATATATGGGTCTTAGAGGGAGGAAAATAGGGGAGGGGGAGACATATTTATGTTCTTTTCTTGGAAGCCGCTCAGAGTAGTGGCTCGTCCACTAGTTGGGTGAGGCGTAAATTGAAATTAATCAATCTTTTGGGAATGCAGATTTGAATTTGCAGACCCTTATCCTCCCAGATATCTCATGACCCCATGAGTTAAGAGCACCCCATTCAGGTGTCTCCTCAAATATCTCAACTTTATTTATTCATTTATTACACTTACACCCCGCCTTTCCACTACACGGGAGTGCTCAAGGCAGTTTACAAGCTTTGATCTCTAACACCTTTCCCTCTTGAGGAGACCTGGAGGTCTCGAAAGCTTGTTTTCATTTTTGAGCCCTTCGTTTGGGTCCACTAAGGGGAGTTCTGGAATTTAAGCAGTTTCGGAGTGAAAAATAAACTCCCCGCGAAAACACACCTCAGACCTTATAGTCCCACCGGCTTCCCTAAAGGAGCCGTCAACGTAAACAAGCCTGCACAAAACCCGCCTAATCCTTCCCCAGAGCGAGAACAAAAACAGATATGCCAAAGCAACGTCTCCGATTTGCTGCCGGGCCTGTCCGTCCACACAGCAGCGGCCTTCGGGTTGGCGAATGGAGGCGCCTTCCCCGAGAGCGGGGCCAACGGTTGGTCAAGGCGGCTGCCAATCTGAAAGGGAGGGTGGGTTCCCCTGTGAGGTAGGTCGACGCCTGATTGGTTAGCGTCGTTTCGCAATCGCCCCCTTCTCTCTTTCGCCTTGAGAAAGGACTGAGGGAGAGCAAAGAGAGAAAGGCGAGTCGGGCCTGGCCGGGCCCTCGCCTCCCCGGGTCGATATCGGGACAGGTAAGGGGCCGGGCAGCCCTCCCCGGGTTGAGGGGTGGGGCCGGAGGCCTCGGCCTCGAATTGGGGCTGGGAAGAGGCTGTATGGGGAAGAGACGGGGCAAGAGGGGCCGGTGGCAGGTGGGGGAGGGAGAAGGGGACTAAGGGGGCGGCGGTGAGTGCCCTCCCCCCCCTTTTCATCCCTCCGAAGACCCACAGATAGGGGAGGCTTTTAAAAAGGGCACTCTGTGTGTTGGGGGGGAAGGAAGAGGAGGAGGAAACTGGGTGGGTGGTCGGGGTGAGGAGAAAAGAAAGGAGACGGGAGGGGGGAGTTGCGGGGAGTCTCGCCCTCCCACATTGGGGTGGGCGCAGACATTCCTTTGCCTGTGTTATATGTGGGGAAGAGGGGGGCAGAGTGTGGGGTAGAAAGGGGGGAGTGTTCACGAGGAAGTGAAAGGACCGTTAGTGTGTGTGTGTGTGGGGGGAATGGAAACCCCTTCCTCTGTCGCTTAGGAACCGAGCGTGGGGTCCAGCTTCCTTGTAATTCCCTTCTCCAATCCCCTCGCCCCCAATAATCCTGAGGGGAGAAGTGGGGCGGAGAAGTGGGGCAGAGGAGGTTGTGAGTCTCTAGCCACCACCCCTCGTTCCACGGGTCTTGAGATGGAGTGAGGAGCGTGCCGGTCTTCCCCATCCCCCCCCCAAAGTGTTTGGTGGTGCCCTTATTATAGGGTTAACCCCCCCCTTTTTAAATGGGCCTGGCGCGGCGTCTGTGGGGGGAAACCGGCGCGTGCCTGGAGTGCGCATGCGCGCGCGGCTGCCTCCATGGGAAGAATGATGCAACCGGCGAGCAACTCCTCCCCTATTGGGATGAGGTCACGTCTTGGCACGAGGGGGATTCCCGGGAGGGGGCTGAGGGTGGAAGGAAAGGAAAGGGGAGGCGGAGAGGGCGGATTGTGGGGAGCCAGAATCTTTTCCCCATCTGAGCCTGCCTGCCCTCAGGAGCCTTTTTCAAGAGGGAACCATGTTTGTTTATCTGGGTATAACAAACACACAGACACTTTGGAAATAGCTTAATAGATTTGTCACAGGGTGAGGTTTTGTGGATTACACGTCACTTCCTCACAGATAAGGACCTGCTAAATCTGTTCTAGAGTATACTAGTACGACAACAGCAGCCACCACAAAACAGGATTGTTTGTGAAGAAGTAGCTTTGGAAGTCTTGTTTCAGCAGCAACAAAAGGGAAACAAAAACAGCAGGCTTATGGTACCTTGAACAGATTTATTTTTGTGTGGATTTCTCCTTTATTCAGTTTTCCTGCATCCGCCCTATCTTCATTATTTTCTGTAGGATGAGGTTGGATCAGAACAATACTGTATAAGAGTCTGGCTAGAACAGTGAGCTAAAATAAACTAAAATGGCATCTAAATCACAAATAATTATAATACTAGCCCTGTGTTACTAGGGTTGTTGGGAACCTATTCTGAAATACACTGTTGGTATTTCCTTCCCAAACTATATCTGCCTGGTTTTTATAAGAGCTGGTCAACAACGTACCTGAGCAAGAGGAAGTGTTAACAGTATGAATTTCAATGGAATAAGAGAGTTGCTTCTGTTTATTTGGCTAGAGCTGTTGCATAGCAGTTTTCAGAGCAGAGGAGCCTGCAGTTCTCAGATCAGCCTTGACAACAGTGAAGGGACATCTACTTTGTAGCTTAACCTGTATGATGTCCTTATTACTCTTTAGACTTCAGTTTCTATGGGAACATTGTCGTGGGGAAAATCTGCATACCATGGCCACATCCATTGGATTCATTCTTGTCTTTCCTTCTTAAGTGAAATAAGCAGTGAAGAAGTTCACAGTTGTTTCAACATCTTGTCTGGTCTTTGGTATTGCCAAGAGCTGTATTGTATCCTGCTGGTGTTCTAAAGATCTTGAACTTGCCATTAAATTGTCAGAAGAAGACATTTCTTTCTTTACTCCAGTAGGAAAAAGAAAAGCTCTTGTATTGTCAAATCTGACAAATTATTTTGGGATTTGGTGATGCTGTATTCTTAGACTGAGCTATGAAACTTTGTTTGGATTAAAGTTATTCCTTTAGTGTAGCTACCTAGTTTTCAAAAAGGTATATATAATGCTTTTCCTGATCATTGATGCAAAGCCAGGTAAGTAACATAAAGTACGTATATTTTGTTTGCCCTGGATAGATTTCTACCCTTACAGAAGGTAGTATTTTCATCCCTGCATTACTAATGTGTTAAAGCTTCTTTCATGTGCTTTGAATACAAGTATCAGATGTCTGACATATATTGGCTTGCTGACAAAATAGCTGAAGACCTTAATGAAACAAGTTCTTGTCAGCTTTTGCATAGAACTCTAGGTCCTGGTCTGCAGTTGTGTATCTGGAAGAGGAAAATGTGGTTTGGCATTAAGTTGTTGGAAATGCTGTCTTCTGCACAGTGAAGTTCTAGACTGGACATTCTTGGTGAATATGTGGGCCTTCTCAATTGAGAGGCCCAATCTCCTTTCTTTCTGTTCAAGGTATTTCCCTTTTTTGAAAGCCCTTTGTGAATCTGAATTAGAAGAAAGCCTTTTATGAATTAAGAAAGTTTATGTGATAGTTAAAATTCAGACAAGGACCCGGGACACCCAAGTTCAGATCTCCAGTTGTCCATTGAAACTTGCCGAGGGTTGGCAGTGGTAAAACTTGAAAATCACATTAAGGTCTCTGTAAATCTGAAGCAATTCTAAAATATCTAATGTAATGTTTTATGAAATAAATGCTCTATTGAAACAGATTATTCTGCTTGGTATTGGTTGTAGTTATTGAGATCCCTACTGCCTAGGAAGTGGAGTATAAATGTAAGAAGGAAATTTAGCAGCCTGAGAGTTTTCGTAGAGCAAAAAGGGAGGGAGCAGGAGGAAAAGTGAATGATTTATTCTACACAGTGTATTAGAGAGGCCTGATGAGGAAACAAGATAATTGAATGCCATTAGTTGCATAGCCCAAATTCCTTACACTGGCATTGTTTTTTCTTGTGTTGCTTATATATGTCTAAATTGTATAATTGAGCATTTAATACTCAAAGCTTTCGTAAAACTCAATCACTACACTAAGTTATAGAGTTCATGATTGGCTTACTTGCAGTTGTGGAAGTCACATGTTTTGTATACTGTAGGTCAACTCCCACATTATTTGAAACAGGTATGTTCACTTTAAGCTTACATAACAGGCAGAGTTCCATCCTTTTTGTTTCCAGTATGTTGTTACTCATCCCCCTTCCTTGTACATGTGGTAGGCCGACCCCTCCTGCCAGCCTTTGGTTTGCAGAATGTGAAGATCAAGGCTGGTGGTGTATGGTTTATTTCCTTTCAGAGAATAGTGTGGGCTTCTCTTGATATTGTCTTTCCAGCCATTGGGAAAACACTGACAGTATTGGGCTGATCAGACAACCCCGTCACCATACTTCTTTCCAGAGTGGGAAAGCTATTTTCAAAACATCTGGAATTTCACCTGAGCATTCCATTCCCAATGCTTTGCGGTGCAGGACCAAAGAGATAAGGCCCTTCTATCCTTCGCATTTCCAATCCTGAAGCCTGGGGATGAGAAAAGGGATTGTTGGTTGTTGTGAGTTTTTCGGGCTATTTGGCTGTGTTCTGAAGGTTGTTCTTCCTAACGTTTCACCAGTCTCTGTGGCCAGCATCTTCGGAGTGCTGTCCTCTGAAGAGCCTGAAAAACCTACAACAACCATTAGATCCCAGCCATGAAAGCTTTCGCAAATACAAAGGGATTGTTCTTTATAGCCACATCAAGACTCACATATTTATTAGAACCTTTGGGGGTTGAAGATTGTGGGTTATTTAGGTTTTAATGCAATGGTTTTACTGTTTTAAATATTGTGCTGTTTGATTTTAAATAGTTTTTTAATTATCTTATGTTTTTAAATTGTTTTATATAGATGTATAACCCACCCTGAGGCCCTGAAATATAGAGTGGACTAGAAAGGAAGGAAGGAAGGAGGAAAGTGGAAGGGAAGAAAGGAAGAAAAAGTTAGTTGTCAAGAGGGGAAGAGTCCTGGCATCTACAGTTTTTGGCTTAGCTGCTTAGGCTTGCCAAAAATTCAGGCTCCCAGTAAGGAAGTATTGCCCTTTGCACATAAAATAATTGATCCTTATGTTAAAAACTGCAAAAGCTCATCATGCAAATGGCCAAATAGATCCATACTTTATCTTGCCAACTGAGTGGAAAAATAGCTTAATTATAGAAAAATGTTTATGCAAACGATAATATGTCTGGAAATACTGGGTCCAGAATAGCAAACTTTAGCTACTTGCCCCTTGTAACTGCATTCAGAGCTTTTCTCCAACTTTGAAATGGAGCTAGTACTCAGTATTTGTGTTGAAAACAACTGCTTGCAACATGAGCAAGCATGAATATAAATTGGGCTGTGGAATTTTATTTATTTATTTGTTTATTTATTTATTTGTTTGTTTGTTTGTTTATTTATTTGATTTATTCCCCACCTAGGCCTACTGCAATTGTGGGTTTTATGAAACTTTATTGAGACTAAGATAGAATGGAACTATATGTGACAGTGGTGGACTGGTTGCTGTCATACTCCTGTAAACCAGGGCTTGCTTGATACTCTCTGACTTCAACAAAATATAAACAGGATAAGTAGGAGGGATCATTGGTCTATTCCCCAATTTTCTTTCTCTGGCTTAGACTGAAAAAGAAGCCTGCAAGGTATTTGGAGACTCAGGTCTATCTCTAGTGCTTCATTCTGCCCATTTGCAAGCAGCTTTCCAGATAAGTTATAGATATTCTCTGGCGGAGAAGTACACAGCAAGACATAACTATTCTACAGAATGGCTTCCAGTATCTTTAGTGGTGATATCTAGCACCAAACCATGTTTGCAGGTAGAGCAGAATAAGTAATTGTGAGTTAAATGTGTTTTTGTAATTTCAGCAACTTGCATGGGGCTTTTTAACCTCACTCTGTAGTAGATGAGTTTAACTTTCATGGTTCTTAGAGACTAGCTTATGATAGAGGGCTACATTTAAATGGAATGGCAGACAAAACTAGTTTGCTTCCACTTGACTTTTTGCACTACCAGAAGCAGTGAAACTAATCAGGTGTGGTTTAGTGTGCCATTTAAATTAGCAATACTGTACTTGTGATCTGTAAGGCAAGAATGAATAAGATAAATGCCTCGTGGCATGAGATTCCCTTTTAATTGTTGACATACATCAGTTACCATATCTGCTAGAAGAAGCTTCTAGGAAAGTTTGATGGCCTGATGTTCCTTATCTTGCAACCTAGGAACTGAATATTCTTTCACTATTAGTGTTGTTATCTATATTTCGTATATACAGGGAGCTAGGGCCATTTATGAAGCAGAAAATCAAGGCATCTCTTCAGTGCAAGGCTCCTGTATTAATTTACAGCTGGAAATATTTGGGCAAAATGTCTAAAAGTAGAGCACAAGTTAGACAGTAATATCAGTTGCCAAGACATGGGTTGTGAAATTGGACATATTTAGTCCTGGCTAGACATTTGTCCACTAGGGATGCCTTTATGATAACTGATCGCAGCTGGCACATTGCAGGGAGATTGCCTAAGGGTGAGGCAAGAAGAGGGCTCAAAACTATAAAGGCTGTTTCAAAAATTGCTTAGGAAAAAAATATACTTGCCTCAGACATATTTGAGACTGAATTTTTTTTTCTTGGAGTATGAACTAAAATTTATTTAAGTAATTATAAATAGTATGTGCTTGAGTGCATAATTTATACATTTTCATCCCTGTCAGACTATCTGTTTAAGTACGATTAGAATAGTCTTGAGTAATTTAAACATGGCAGATATAATAAAGATCTCAGTATCTTGTCGGACAACACAAACCTATGTATGACTGCTCAGGAGTAAGTCTGAAATCCAGTTGCTTATTGAAGTAAGCTGCAAAAAGGGTGGGCCCATAAAATCAATGGAACCTGGGAGGAGTGACCTCATCAAATCCCTACTGATTCAGTAGGCCTACTGCAATTGTGGGTTACTACACCGAGCAACAGGATTTCAGCCATTGTATCATTTTGTATACAGCCTTCTAATACAGATATTGGTGAGAAAGAATAAATGCATATTTTTCAAAAACTTTGTTTTCTAGGCTCAGCTTGTGCTTAATCGATGTGAAGCTTCTTCCAGAAACATCTTGGAAAGCCAAATATCTAATTTCCTAATATCTAAATCATACTGTGGGTTTAAAGAAGAGTCTGTCCAAATGAGCAAGACATCACAGGAGAACACAACTGCAGAAACCAATGGAATAAGTGTCATCTATACCCAAGCACACACAAGTGGCTTACAACAGGTCCCCCAGTTGGTGCCTGTTAGTCCTGGAGGTGGAGGCAAAGCTTCACCTCCCAGTAAGCAGGGCAAGAAGAATTCCATTATTGATAGAAACAGTGATGAGTACCGCCAGCGTAGAGAACGCAACAACATGGCAGTGAAAAAGAGCCGCTTGAAGAGTAAACAGAAGGCCCAAGATACGTTGCAGCGGGTCAACCAGCTAAAAGAAGAAAACGAACGCTTGGAAGCCAAGATTAAGCTCCTAACAAAGGAACTGAGTGTACTCAAAGACTTGTTTCTTGAACATGCTCACAACTTCACAGACAGCGCGCAGCCTCTTGGCACAGAAAGCACTGTGAAAAATTCAGATGGCTCTGGGCAGTAGATACACTTCCCAATTTCACAGACAGAACACTGTGGACACAGGTTCCTCTATACAGGTCTGATGCAGCAACAGAGCAGGATCTTTTCTGAACTTTGTTACAACTGTCATTTTGTGGTGTGTGTGGTTTTTTTTTTTTTTAAATAGTAGGTTTAACACTGAAGACTTGATGCAAGCAAACTGCAAGTTGTGTTGCTAAGATTTTTTTTAACTAGGTGTTATATTTTCAGGTCTGGCATTTCTGATTAACTGAAATATGTTGAGAATGGATGAACATCCTTGTTTTCTCTAAAATGAAGCCTGTACCTTATACTAAGTAGATTGGTTTAACCATTTTCTTACTTGTTAAAAATGTGGGTTAGGGAAGTAGTTCTTAAATGTCACTTTTAAGGACAAAAAAGGTGCTGGATTGGAATCATTCTTTCCCAATTTTACTTGCACAAGTGGCAAACACTTCTTCTGAAGTCTTGTCAGCATCACTGAAAGTATGAACAGTCTTCAGATTAATTACACTGGTCTACAGCCAAAGTGCTTCTACAATAAATGTAGTCAAACTTTACTAATTCTGGGTCACTGAGAATGAAAATGATGCTTAAAATTGTTGTTTGACTCTAGTTTTCAAGATATGCTATTGGGTCAGTATATACGATCTTTGACCTGGGAATGGTAGAGGATAAGTGCATTATAAAGGTAAGGGATCTCAATTTAAACTAGACATGACTGAAATACATCTTTGACTGGATCTATGAACAAATTTATGATTGGGTTTGGACAGTGCTTGCTTTTTAGGCAAAACAGTGAATGTTGCAAACTGAAGCTGGTATTACATCATACATGATATGAATTGCATCCAGTTATTCCTAGAAGCCATGGATGATGCAGTCATAATGAAGCTTACTTCACTGTGCTGAACAAATTGCCCTAGAAATCATACAGTGCCGTATTCTCTTATTTGTCTGTGTTTTATTTTTCAAAGGGACATATTTCTGTTCAGCCAGAGTGAGCAGATATGGCTCATACTTGTGCTAACGATGCAGATAACTTCTGCTATGTTTGTGGAGAAGTGACTTTTGCATCACAAAAGTGCAGTATAACCACTATGGTTGAGAAAGCCTGTCACCTTTATTTTGGCTGTAAAATTGGAGATCAGGACAAGAGGTGGGCCCCACACATAGGCTGCAACACTTGTGCAACAAATCTTTGCCAGTGGTTGAACAGGAAAAGGAAAACTTTGCCTTTTGCAGTGCCAATGATCTGGAGAGAGCCAACAGATCATACCAGCAATTGTTACTTCTGCATGGTGCCTCCCGTTGGGAAAGGTGTGTCAGAGAAGGAAAAAATGGACTGTGCATGATCTAAACATTCCATCAGCTATACTCCCAGTACCCCATGGGGAAGGACTGCTGGTTCCTGATGCGCAGGAATCATTCTCACTTGAGTCAGATGAGGGATAGGATGAAACTTCTGGTCCTGAAGCATCAATGTCACAGGACCTACCTTTTCTCCCAGCCTCCTCCTCTGAACCACACCTCATAACACAAGGTGAAATGAATGACCTTGTCAGGGATTTGAAACTACTCAGGAGTAAGGCATTGCTGTTGGGCTGCAGACTACAGCAGTGGAATCTCCTAGCAGGTGATATTTCACTAGGACATTGTAACAATGGAGAAATGCTATCAGGGCAAATGGAGCCCATCAGTGTTTGGAGACTGTTGCTGGATGGTGACAAGAAATGCTCCATTTAATGAATACAAGAGACAAGACAAGCAGCACCGAGTAGACACTGAATAGGACTAAACTATGAAAATTTATTTAGATCTATTAAGGTGATTGAGTGGGTGACAGCCTTAAATTAGCTGCGACATCACAATAGATCAAGTAAGATGACAAATGTCCAATGTAATGATGTTCAAACTTTGCCACATTGTCTTCTAACCTGCTTTAAATGTAGCGGATGCTTTCTGACATGTAGCACAAACTTGCTGGGCGCAACTCGTAGTTTATGTGGGGAGAGGTGTGTTCTGTATTAGGGCCTAGTAGTAGATGTCTTGCCAAGATTCATAAGATTGCCTAATATAGATTACTTCAGATCATTCTTGGCCCATAGTCTGAGATTGGGAGAATGCAGGGCCTTGAGTCCCCTCCAGCGTAATGTCCTAGCAGTGGGCAATGGCACTATTCCCACCTAGCCATGAGCTTCCTTCCATTTTAATTACCTGCAGTGGCTGGACATAGCCTTACTCTGGAAGGTTATGGAATATCTTCAAAGCTCTAGCTCATGCTGGTGTCAAATAAGTATGTGGGTGAGATGGAACCAGTGCAACAATCGGCATGCTGGTGTTCATGGAGGCTGATGATGGCAGCCCTGGAATTAGGCCTAAATATCCATCCCCTTCCTAGGTGACGATGAGGACAACTGGCTTCTTTGAATGTGGGTCACTTTGCTAGATGACAACACAAGTTTGGAACATGTTTCCTGGATCACAGGTTTGTGATAAGTAGCAGTGAATTGTAATTTACCCCTGTAGAAGACTGGTTCGTGACAAAGGCCCATGCAGAAGGGCTTTTTTAGAATTAAAGTAGAAGGACACCTTACTCCTCTGGCACTTCCGAACAATGATATTTTCATCTTTGATACTGTACGTTCAGGTTGGAGCCACATTGCTTTCAAGATGCAAGCAAGAAGGCAGTTTCTTGGATAATTCTTCCAACATGAGAAAGAAACTCGGGGCCCTGTTCTGAGAGGTAGATACATTGCTGTTTTATTCACTCCTCTTCTGATTATCTAAATTAGCCAGATAGTTAATTTAGTAGCCTATAGAAACCTAAAGTAATATTTACTCCCTCCCCCGCACCAAAAGGTAATCCTCATAACCAAGTTGGCAGAACTGATTTTTCGGTCTTTGACATTCCTGTGGGAAAACCACTCAGCTTTTAGATAATTTTCAAATACTGTTGGTGAGCCCCCTATATTTTGGGGTGGATACAAAACTGAACAAATCAAACAGAGTACGGAAGTCATTGTAATCCTTGAAACTTATTTTCTCTTAAAATATTTTCATTTATCATACATTGGCATATGACTGACTGGAATAGCAAAAAATGACTTTTATACCTCCTCTTTCCTTGCAGCTACCTTGTTTGTATATGCGTTTAGAAAGACTGGGTCAGCTCAGTAATGTTAATAGAAGATAATAAAAAAAGCCTTATAAAATAGCATTTATTTGTATGTTTGTGAAACAGTACAAAAGGATCTTGTTGGACAGCAGCCTCTATGAGGGATGAAGCATCAGAAGTATTGAAGTTTTCAGCAGGCCAAACCTGTTGATGGCAAGATCAACAGTGAAACTGCTACTGAAACCAGTTTGATGGAGAAGAGACAAGGTGGAGTGTGCTTAGCAGATCATCCTCCTGAGCCATGTAAGAAATGATAAAATGAGGAGAAAAAGGGAGGATTGCCTCTTTCCCATCCAGTAATTTGGCTTTTAAAACATCTTATCTCTTTCATTCACTCAACAACACATTCTTGTTACCTAAAGGCTGCACAATACTTTACATTTTCTGCACTTCAGTAAGCCTTTAATAGAATATGTTTTAGATCTGTCTCCATTAAAATAACTGTCAGATGAGTAATGGTAAGATTCCACTTCTTGAAGGTTAAAAAAAATGGATGTTTTCAGAAGCCCTGTCACGTATTTTCATTTGCCTCCATGTTTTCCTTAATAGCTGAGCCTTCCTTGGTTCTTGGTTGTTTTCCCAAGGTGTTTTTTTTTTGCATTTGTTTTTCAGAGCTGCTAATCCTTAGTAACAAAAAATAATAATAAAACAATTGGATCTGTAGCTATGGCTTATTTTGCTAAGGTAATCTGTGATGTCATTCTCTAGTGCTTTGCAGCCTTCCCACACTCCTACTGCATATACTGTACAAAACAAGAACTAAGTTTCTTTAAAGTTCCATCTCTTTACTATGTATTTCCAGATACTTAGGTGCTACTGTGTAGCTATTTTTAAACCACTGGGTCAAAACAAATACTTACTGTTCTTGTAGTAGGCCTGCTGAAATAAGTGAATTTCTTGGTCACTGATAGTTTTATAACATACCCTATACATTTTAATGTTTAATTTCCTCCATCTGATAGCACCAGCTTTTCATAATGTTACATTATTTCTGTTTATATTTTTGTATGCTTTTTAAATATGAATAAGGGGAATTCTATGTTTCCCCTACACATACTGTGCATCATAATAGAACGGTATTGTATGTGTTGTACTGTCAAATTATCTATATGGCCATCTAAATTAAAGTTTTCATCTTTAATTATAGATGCTAAAGGTGATATTCTAGGTATGATTTATGTCAATGATTATCCTACGTTTCTTGGTAAGTTTTTATTATAACATTTAGTATTTTTTATATCTGTTTGCTATACCAACTACAAACCTATTGATTCATTTATATTAGGAGTGTTGTTTAGAGCACTGGTTCTTAACCTTGAGTTACTCAGGAGTTTTGGACTGCAGCTCCCAGAAGCCTTCACCGCCAGCTGTGCTGACTGGGGTTTCTGGGAGTTGCAGTTCAAAAGCATCCGAGTAACAAAGGTTAAGAACCACTGGTTTAGAGGGAGAAATTTTTTTCCAAGCCATTCCAAGATAAATAGCAGTTTATTTGTGCTGTAATAATTCATAACATTTAGGAGTCCTGCTCTTCCCTTCTCCAGATGTTTTCTTGCTATTTCTTTTGGTTTAAATCTCCAGTCTGTTATCATTTTGTAACTAAATATGACACTTCAGTAAGATGGGTATTTTCTCTTTAAGGATATTAATTTATCCATTCACTGAACCTCTTACATGATTAATATGTATTTCGAGATACTTGCTCTTTTGACCAGATCACTTTATTAAATCGTGGACTCTTACTTTAAAGAAAAGCAGGAGGAAGTTCTGTATTTACTGTGTATTTTGAACCCAGCAGTTTCCTCATGATTTTTGAATTAACTAGTTCCATTCCTCAGCTGAAGAACTATTCCCACCCTCCCCAATTTGTTCTTTGGCTCCAGTTTCACATTTAATCTGTTTTCTCAGTCTCATCACTGCTCTTAGAGTTCAAGTGAGAGGAGTTTTATCATTTTTGTGTGTTTCCTTTCTTTAGTGGCATTCTGGTATTTTATGACTTGTATACATGATTTGTTTATGCCTTCCATAAATCTAGTACATTGTTTCTTTTGAATAAGCATTGCCATTTCATTTCTCTCCCTATATTCTTGGTTTCTTCTCCATCCACTGCTTTACTTTTTCTTTCTTTTTTAAAAAAATAATGAATTGAACTACTTGAACTGTATTTAAATGAATACTTAACTGGCATATCGGAATTTTCAGTATGTTACCAGTTGCATTAACCTCAAAGTATGTTTATAACTGTGTTGCTGGTTTAGTTACTGTATCTGTGTTGTTCAGTATGTAGCATCTGGGTATTCCTCATTCCTTTTGGATACTCTCAGATGGGGAATGTCCTGTGCGTCCTTGCAGGAAGGCAGCCCTGGCTCCCCTTGTTAGCTCCCTTAGGAGCTCTTGCTTTTCCTTTTGTTTTGGACTTTCAAGTGTCCTAGAGGGCATGGCCAATGGTCAGAAATTCTGGGAGTTGGAGAGTCCAAGACATCTGGAAGACAGGTTGGGAACCACTGTTATGGAATATTGTACTGAAAAGAGATCTTGAGGGAAAGATGTGGAAGACATGCTCTTAAAGGCAGTGATTTTATTTGTTTGTCCAGCTAAAATAGTTCCATCAGATTTGATCTAAGGCAGCAATTCTGCTCTTTGTGTTGGTAATTATGTATTCAAAGATTATATATATTCCTATTTTAATATATTTGGTTAACAATAGAGCTTTCCAGGCAGTGATTTATAACCATCATCAGTCAAACAGATTCTTTTCAGCAACATGACTCCTTAGAAAGCAGCAAGAACATAATTAGTTTTTTGAGTCAAAACGTTTTACATGGCCCACTGTAGTATTAAAAAATATAGTGAAAGCCACAAAGCCTTTTCTTTTCTTTGCAATAGAGCAGTGCCTTAACTGTAAGGGAGCATTTGCAGGACTGCATGTTGTCCTTCAGCGCTGCAGTGCTCATGAGAGCAAAGCCACTCTCTTCACTCTTACAAGCATTGGCTAGAGACTGAAGCAAAAGATTTGCTGCTGCTCTGGGCTTCTCCCATGAATGCTTCGATTTCGTCTGTGGTGCGCGGAACACAGGTCAGCAGCTCCATTCCTGTGGCCGTCACGGCAATGTCATCTTCAATCCGCACCTGCAAAAGATAGACACATTTCCGACTGGCACATTTTGGCTGAGGTTGGGCCTTCCCTCCTTTGTCCCTGTGCTTTGGGAAGTGGATTTTTTTTAACCAACTGGTTGGATCCCAGGCTGGAAAGTACAAGACAGTCTTGTAGTTGTGACCACCATCTTTGTCCCTGGCTTTCAACAGGAAGAAATGCACAAATGGGTTGCGTGTGCTTTTCCCCAGGCCAGAAGCCCTCTTTGACATTCTGGGTGTTAAACAGGTTTCAATGCACATGAAGAGTGGATCCGGTGCATTCTCAATTCACTTCTATGCCCCGCAAGTGATGACCCAGTGGTGGTAACGGAAAGCAGTTTGAAGGCCAAGTTCAGAGTCAGTATGCACCTGTCCTGGCTATTCACATATGTTCCTCCTGGGAAGGATGGCCTCTGATTAGCAGGGATGGAGGAAGGCCTGGTAATGGTATGGGACAGATTTCTTAAGGACCAAGTGGATCTGGAAAATCCCATGTAGCCCTAAAAAAGCCCTCAAAAGCTACAAATCCAGCAGGACATCACTTGTTAATGAAAGTTCCTTGAAACCAAACCTGATATCCAGTATCCTGCCTCTCTGTGGACACCAACACATGGGAGTTACATCCCTAGCTCATTGTTTCATAGTACATTTGTTGCATTCTGTTCACCAGGTAAACAGAGATTTTCCTTTTAAAAAATGCATGGTGGCAACAGATGCTCTGTAGCTGATAGTGTTACTAAGACCTTTGAAATCACTCCTGTTCTCATTGGGTGTGAATGAAAAGGCTGGGACCTGTCCCTGCTAACTTCTAATCTTTTCTGCCAGTTAAATATGCAGACTCAAGTCATTATCCTTTATCTTATCAGAAACGTGCTAGTAAGTCTCTAAGCTGCAATAAAAGCAATTTCAGCCAAGTATCAAATCCAAAGGAACACAAACCTCAGTGACTCCTTCCATACAGTTGCTTTAATTGTTTCTGACCTCAGGACATTTAGATCTAAAAATAATGCTGATTTGACATTTGTCCTTCTTGCAAAATAGCTAACTTATTCAAGCAAAGCGAGTCACTGAGCCTCTATTAATGTGTTCAATGATCTGTTTGCCAGATAATTTCCTTTATACAACATTAACATATATGTATTACAAACCTGAATTAAATAAACTCTGTAGAATTCAAACCCAACAAACTGATAGCTGTTCAATCTGAACAGAAAAGGACTCACCCTATCTAGTTCACAGTGTCTAAGAAATAGGAATGTTAAGTTCCCAAAGAGAAGGCAGAGCTCAGCACTTGTATCTTCATAAGATGTCAATTTTTAACTCAAGTTTCTCTTAAAATCTACATGACCGATATCTAAAAGCAAGCAACAGATTGGGGGAAAATGAGAGAGGTATTTGTGTGCCTACTTAATGACCAAACCTTATTCTCTTTTTGAAGCCCGCAAATGCAGTTTCAGAGCAGTGCAATTTTACAGCGAAGCAAAAGAGAGTTTGGTTTGCTCATATTCAGTTAATTTGAGGGTTCCCTCAAAACTACTGTTTGTAATGGAAACAGATCTAAAGGACATATTCAGAAGGAAAACTACAGAAGAAATGGGCTACAGAATAAAAGGGAACCATTTTTAAAGCACCATGCTCATTTTGAGGAGGGGCAGTGGCCTGCAAGATGCCACTGAGATGAGGTAGTGCAACAGTGTGATCCTGGCAGCAGTTGTTCTGTGTGCGGGTGACTCATTGGACCATACCTTCCTCCTCAGCTAGAAGATTAACAAAAGTTGACAAGGAAAAGGAGCAGAGAGAGGAAGAACTTGTTTTAAATTTAAAAGAAAATACTGTAATGAAATAATGAAAAGTGTTAATTTTCAAAGACTGATCATGATTCCTTCTCTTAGTTTTCTTTGGGAAACAGTCACAAACACCGTTACAGTCACAAACACTCTTCCCTGATGAAGTAGTTCTATGGGCTGTCCTTGTAGAATCCCAAAACTAGCATGCATAGAAATATGTGAACCTCATCTGCTGCTTGGCCACCCCATCCAGCTTTGAAATGGAGTAAGGAATAGGGAAAGAGAATGAATCCATGGGCAGGTGCCCTAAAGGTTCAAGACTTCTCTCAATGGCTCTCTTCCCTCTTTTCTAGTTTTGGATGTCACACTGCATGGTTGCAGTGACGTGGGATTATGGAAACTGAAGTGAAACATCTGGAGTGCTCCAGGCTGAGGAAAGCTGTTCTGTAGATTTATGGTCTGTTCATGCCAGAAAGAACCATTATTCTGAAACCTCCGGCCTTCGTTAGAATAATAAAAAAAAATCAATTGCTTGAAATTTCTTGCAATGGAAGGAAACAAATACAGTATATGCAGAAGGATTTCTTATTGATCATTAAATGTGATGCTAGGTTTTGTATTCACAGGGACAAAAACATGACATTTTTGTCATTACCCAGTGGGGAAGCAGATGTGTCTTTTGTCATTGCTAAACTGGACTGGATTAAGTATTGAAGTATATCAAGACCAGTGTATCTTAAATTTAGGACTCACCACTGAAAATATCTAAATAAAATTGATTACTGAACAAGGAACATGGCACTAGAAGCGACCGTATGAAACCTAGCCTCAGCATTCTCCTGGTCTCATCATTTCATAGGAGACCCCGTGCAACCACCCCAATTGCTTCAGGCCGATTGTCCAAATTATAATTGGGACATATATACTGCACGGAGCATAGAGGATGGTGTATGAGGCACACCTTTCATCCCACCTCCTTCCTGGCTGGCTTGTATGCACTGATAAAGCAACAGCACAAAGTAAAGATAACCTCTCAAACTTGGGAAGAGAATTGAGCAGCAGAAGATAAAGTCCCACATGGCTTGATAAGATTGTATACTCTGCACACAGGGCTTTCAAAGAGCCGAGGGTAAAGACGAGACCAGGTGACTCAGAGAACTGGCTGATGACTCAGGGAATATTCCACAGGGAAAGCAGAGGCAGAAATGGTATCCATTTATCTTACTACTTCACTAGAACATTTATATCTGCACCCACCCTCAAATGCCTGGAGATCTCAGGTGGGGATAGGAAATGAGACCAATTTAAAGCAAGTATACAATAATATCAGAGAATTTGCGAGAATAAAATATTCGAGGTGCTGGGACTCCACATCCACTTTGGCATGGGGAAATGACTGGAATGACTTCAGATATGAATAGATCATTGCCCCAGGTACAACCTGTAAGTGTGTGGTTGTAAGTTTAGGCATGAATGAAGCAGAATTTTTGCTATCAGAAGAGGCCCCTTTACATTTTACTTCTGGAAAGTCTCAAAATAGGATGACATGTAAAGGGCCCCCTAAAGAGCTGCTTTCCATCATGAAGAGAATAAAGAACTAAATTGCAGATGGTAACAGTTGCAGAAAATGGTGCAAAGTTCACAATCATAAGCAGACATTAAGTGGCTGATCAGCGGTCAACTCCTGGGCAAAGGCTCAGTGGTAGAGCACATAAAATGTCTGCAAAAGTTTGTATTTTGCCTTCATGTGGCTCTGTTAAGGCTTCTCTTGGGTTCTTCCCAGCATTAGCTCCCTAGCAACTTGACTACCAAGACCTTCCTTGCTCTGGTTCTTCTTTCTTTTAGCTATCGTCCATCAGATATAAAGAAAGAACATATTGGCCAGAATTACACAAAGACTACACCAATCCCATAATTTCTCTGTCCCTATTTTTTTAAGTCTGAGTTCCCCTCTACACTACAAGAATAAGAATTCTGGCCTATTATAGAGGATGACTGAATGCACTGCCAAGATAATGTGTGCATAATAACTTGAACCAAACACTTTCTAAATGCTGAATGCACTTATCAGCGTTCACCCTAGCATCGCAGTTCTCACTCCATACAAGCCAAGCAATCAAGTGGCAGGAAGTGGCCATCACCAAGCAAGTTACTCACCCCACCAAAACCTCGGAAGCGTGCCAGGACTTCATTATTGAGGAAGCAGGCCTGGGCAGGATCAGCCAGGGCCTGGTCCAAGAGGTGGTCAATGAAGTAGATGCCAGGTTCAACCGTCAATACCATGCCTGGGACAAGGACACGGGCAGTTCGAAGACTCCGAAGTCCTGGCAGATCAATGCGTTCCACACCCTACACAGACAAACAAAAGAGCCCTGAAACTCTCTATGTTTAGTCCTCAAAGACTATGGGTGCATTTTTCTACAACACTGTGGGTCCCATGGACTGCCGTTCTATCGACACCTTCATGGGAGGATAGGTCCCCCTCTGCCTTAGCTGGAGGGAAAATGTTATTGATACTCAGATCCTTCTCAGAGATGCTTGGCTTCTTTTCAGCCACAGAGAGTCCCATTGCAAATTCCTCAGCTTTTTATACATTGCTCTCTCGATTCCTTGGGTTCTGAGGCAATGAATTCTAGATACGCATTTCTTAGCACCCGTGCCTCTCATTTAGACACATATGCACCAGTCTTAAGCTCTGTCCAAATACATTTCACATGTATTCAAGCTTTAAAATGGCTCTATTTAATTTCTGCATATTTGTAATTTTGTTTTAAAAAAGCAGACACATGCAGTGCCATTTTTCAGTATATTCTTTTTTCCCTAATGCATGGTTGTATGCACTGTTCTGTAATACACATATGTTTGTATGCAACTTTTCCTAAAATAAGTATTTTTTGTGTGCCTCTTTCCCCAAAATATCCATTGCTGTACACATTTGTTCAGCCAAGGACTGAATCACAGAATCTGGATGTGTAGAGATTCCAAAAGATAACTGGGTTCCAAACTGTGCTTCAGTTCAAGAACTGCAAATTAGGTCATTTTACTTGAAAACTGCTCTCAAATTTACATTTTCCAGCCCCTGTACTAATAGACAAGCTTAGCACTAGGTCAAAGAATGACTATTTCCTCCTCTGCTTCTTGGTTTTATGAGAAATTTGCTTGGTTTCCCTAATGGTGGATTTTGTAAGAAAGGTTCTGGTTGCTTGTGTTAGATATTAGTTTGCTGGCTTAGGTTTTCATTGTTGCTTTAAGCATCTGATAAGGCAAACAAAATACAATGTAACGCTGAGAAAATCCAATTGTTCCGAAGATGCAGAAATCAGAGGGGTCATGTCTTGTTTGTTCCTTAGTTTTGATTCTATTTTGCAATCTTGGAAGAAATGCCTGGTGGGTTTGCTGGCATAAAGGAGAACATTCTGGCACTGACCTCTGGGTAGCCTCCGACGTCATGCACGTCAATGCCAAGGAGGTGGCCAAGCCCATGAGGCATGAACACAGCTCCCAGATGAACCTTCACCATGTCTTCAATGTTGCCTTGGAGGATGCCAATTTTTGTGAGCTCTTCCAGATGGACTCGGTCTGCCAGACGGTGCATGTCAGGCCAAGCGACTCCTGGGAGAAAGCAGAAGGCAGCTGATGTGGTGGGATGATGATAACTTAGATGCATTTTCTAAAAATATTTGTTCACTCTTAATCAGAGAGAATTTGTAAGGCTGTAAGCCACCTTTTCAAAGACCAACATGACAGAGCTTTGTAAAACAATATTCGCAAATGGAGGGGGGGGGAAGTCTTTCTGAAAAGAATACACATCTTTGCTTTGAATGCTGTGCGTGAACAGCTAACCCAGCCCAAAAAATACATACTTTTAATTTATATTAATGATACCACAAAGAGCTCCTCAAACCCATTTGAAAACAGTCAGTTGCAATGGTCCAATTTAGGCATTCTAGCTAGTTTCAGGTTATTGACTTCATTAATCCACTATACTGGTTTAATATATTTATTGTCTCAGCTCAATCCCATGTGTTCATGTTCCTTTGTATTCATTGAGTCATTTGATTTTTTTTTTTCGTATTGCATTTTGCTGAAATGTAGAGAATTGTACCTAAAGGTCTTTAGTAGTGTGCCACACCAAACTACAGATCTGGTGATTCTGTATGATGGAACTGGGATAGCCAAAGTGGGATTCCACTGGTCTAAGAATGCCTAACTGTACCTGTCTCTTAGGAAGCCCAGAACCATGATATTCTTTTTAAAAAAATTAAAAATATATATTCCCAAACGTGTTGATAAACTTAAAAAAAGTATTCTGGTGTCACGGATGACACTTCTGTGCTGCTGCTCTGTGCAGCTCCATACATACAAAAGCCTCACTCTTTCTTACTGGTGGCACCCCCTCTGCAGCACATTCATTTCTTCCCGGAGTCACCCCAGCTGGCCAGTTGCTGAGCTAAGGTAACTGGGGCAAAGGACTTTCAACATTCATTTTTCTTTGCTCAGATCTGGCAGGCCCACACAAGAGTCAGCAATTTTTAAGGCCAAGAGGCCCTTCAAATTTGCATTTGCTTTACCCCCCTCATGGAAGAAACAGGAGACAGCTTTGAGCTGGGGGGTTTGGTGCACTTTTTTTGGGGGTGAAGAACAGAACGTGTTGAAAGTTTAAGAAAGAAGTAACACTCACATAGTTCAGCATTTTTAAAAAAGAGCCCCTACCCTTGTCACACATTTCTGAGAGAAAGGCCAGTAGTGGACGATGCTTTTTTAAACAGCCTAGCTGCCACATCTGTTCGAGGGGACCATCTTACCCAAATAAAAACATCTCAAGGATGCTGGTATGCCAGCTGAAAATCAGCTTGTGTGGATTCAGAAGACCGGCCAGTGAGCCTCTCTTGTGCAACAGGGCCCTAAACAAAGCTCTGTAGGCGCTAACGTGAACACACAGTGTGGTGGTGCCTGTTTGCTATTCAGTACAAGTGTGTGATATAGCAACAAAGCAGTTGTTGGTAATGGTGTCAGTACTGAAGCATAGGAAACAACACTGTCACCGCTGGAACAACAGTTCTGTGTGACAAAGCCTTCACACAGAGGCTGGTATCAGAACACTGCTGTGGGTTTGGCAGCTTATTTAGGACATTTAATGCATTGAGGAGAGAGGCTGTGTGTGTGTGCTGTGTTTTTGCAAAAACCAAAAGGAAAAGAGGCAGAACCCGAGACTGGGAAAGAAACAGTACCTCCAAAGAACCTTGGATTTGACTTCAGAAGTTTCCTGACCCGATGGCTGCATGTTTTTAAAAAGAAAAGCTGAGTACGGGTTGTCACTACAGGTGTGAATGCCATGAATGCAACTCTTCCATCTTTTAAAAAGAGGCACCGTTTCAGTGCGTACAAGGTGGTATATATCACTGAACCTACCACAGCTTAGCATATAACATAGGACCCCTGTTTCCGTGGGGGAGAGCCAGAGGCTAGAGAATGTGATTCTCCACTATGTCTCCCAGAAGAAGAGCCAGCCTGTGTGGCCTTGGACCAGTTGCATGGTGATCCCAGCGCACCTCCAGAAGGAGATTTACAAACCACTTCTGAGCACTTTATATTTAGAAGACCTGAGAATGGCTGGGCATAATTAAAATGATAAATTTGGGGAAAACAGGCCTGGGATCTGCAGAGTTCCCTTTCTTACTCCTTATATATGAGTATCAGGGAGGCCCGACTCCCTCGGTGGTTGAATTTGCTGCGATTTTGCAGGAGAAAAGTTGCACTTCAGCAACCAACTTATTGTTGCAACCCACAATCCCTGTGAAAGAAGCCAACGTCACACTGAAAGAGCGCTGTGCTTCCTGGAGGCCAGCAGCAGAGCTGAATTCAGAAGGGGAAACTAGTGAACATCTGAGTTGTTCTACCTGAGAGAGAACCCAGTGTGGCAAGTAGGGTTTGATTGAGACCAGAGAGACTCCACAAAGCCAAGACAAGCTCTGCGTTTTCTTCCCTTCCACCAGCAACTTCATTAAAAGGGCTCAGGGACGTATTAATATATTATGCTCAGAGAGATATCAGATTTTTGCCTTCCCTCAACCTCTAATTTGAAAGATGCCATCCTAAAAATAAAAGGAAAACACCTCATTATATTTTCATGCAGCTAAGAAATATACATCTTTAATTAGAGTGATATTTTAGGCCCTTTAAGACTTCTCCCCTACCCCAAGGAGCACCAGAAAACTGTTTTGCAACTTGGTTGCTCATGTTTCTGATGAATAGAGCCGTCTGCAGAAACTCTTACGCAACTGCATTGGTTCTAGAGGGTGACAATATTGGTTGTCTGTCGGGACAACAAAGCATCCTTTCTGCCGCAAGAGGTCCCCTAATCCCCATCTTGCTTGCTGCACCCAAAACAATCCCAAATATAAAGCTGGCCAGGTTAATTTTTTATTTATTTCTTTTACATGAAGGAAGGCAGGGAGCTGCCACAGGTGGCTTGATTCTTTGCCTGAAACTATTACTAATCACAGTGGCATCGCATCTTTCCTTCAAAGAGTTCATAGCAGCCTTTGTATTTTTCACCTGCATGTTATCCACAAACCATATTGTGAGGTGGGTTAAGGAGAAAGGAGAGAGGAATCAAAAGGGAGAGACAAAGAGAAGGAAAGAGGAAAAGGAAACATGGTAGAAAAGGAGAAAGGGAGAAATAAACGTGACAACAGAGGAACACAAAGTGATGGCATGGAAGAAAGAATAAAGATGGCAGAAAGAATGCAAGAAAGATCATCATCTTAGAACTTCCAAAGCTGGAAGGGACCTTATAAATTATCGAGTCCAGCCCTCATCAAGGAGGCATGGTGAGGAATTGAACTCCCAACCTCTATCTTTGCATCCAGAGACCTCAACCACTGAGCCATCCAAATAGGGAACAGAACTCCTAACTTCTGATGCCTCAACAACTGAGCTATCCATCCCGCAAGAAAGTTAGCAGAGAGAGAGAGAAAGGATAGGGAAGTTGAGGTCCTGCCCATTTCTGGTTCTGGCCCCACCCACCACTGATTTTAACCCTCCCAACTCCTGGCACACAGCTCCAAAAAGATTAACCTTACATTAACCACACTGTCCCAGATCATGGCATAGCTTTGAAATATAAACAAATGGAGGAGGATGATGACGACAATGACAATGGCAATAGCTAATTTACAATTTAAGTTTAAGCCAAATAAGAAACCGTCCCTTCCAATCCTGAACCAGCCATTGCCGGTGGTTGTGTTCCCAACTGCAACCCATTTTGACAAGCTTTGCCTGTATGACTATAGCCCTGATCACATTCAGATCCTCATCCTGAGCTGTCTTAATAAATTCTGGGCTATTTATAGATCTCTTTTATACACATACACACAGAGACACACATACAGCCACAGCAGTGCCTCTGACCCTTGGGAACCACCTCCTAATACCAACACCAGTCCGTGATGCATCTGGCCATCGTCCACTGTAGGGGCCAGGTTTACACAGCCTGACTGGAGAACCCTTGGACTTTGGATCGTTGTTGCACGAGACATCTGTACTGGGAGAAAATCTGCTGACGTTGTGTCTGCTCCATTCTTAATTTGCTGCCAAATGCAATACCATGCAATGTAGGTCACTGCACCAATGACTTGACTGCCCAGAAGGCCCAAGGCCCCCATGGGTCATTTGGGCTTCATTGGCTACCTCTTGCTCAGCCATCCTGGAGAACAGGAGCCCTGTGCACACAGCACTTTTCTATGGTCTCTCTCTCTCTCTCTCTCTCTCTCTCTCTCTCTCACACACACACACACACACACACACACACACAACACACACAACACACACACACACACACACACACACACACACACAGAATCAAAGTGACTCAAATGAACCCTGCTTGACCAAGTTAAAACTGATCATAGAATTGGGGAACATAAATGAGCTGCATCAAGAGAAGGACATGACTCAGTTACCAATGAGACTGCAGTATGAGACTCTATTTACTTTTATGGAGTTATGGGAACTTTTCATCTGTTCCTTTCTAAATGGAGTTAGAAGGTACAGGGGCAGCAAAGAAGGAGGCAGCTGCCTCTGGTGGAAGATTTGCAGAGCCCCAGGGCAGCAAAATGAGATGTGCTGGTTGGGGGAAAAAAGTCCATCAGGAAGATCTTCCGCATTGAATCAGGTTTAGTGCCTGTGCACGGATTCTGCACCTTTCCGGGAGATTCATGCAAGGTGCCAAGGTGCTGAGAAGGAAATAAAGCAGGACATAAAGTAACTCTCTCCCTGTGAATGGTGTGGTTGTGAAGTGAAATGGAGCACCCATCTTCTGTGGTAAATTTGAGGTACCATTAAAGACAGGATATGCGGTCCCAGAATGTATCACCCCTAAAAACCTCTCCTGTAAACATTCTGCTGAAATTATTGGGTATCGGGCCAGGCTGTTAGACTGAACACTCTGCTAGACAAGATCCTTAACGTGCCATAAGAAGAAGAGCTCCATTAAGAAGAGAAGCCGTTCTAACATAAGCATCCCTACAAGAAAAGCTTGCTTATATCTATTTGCATGTTTGATACCTCAGACATGTAGCACTGAAAGAATCATGTGCCTGGAGGGATAACTTTGTAAGAGGATGCAATACACATTTTCCTTAATGCATGATCTGAACTTGAAACAATGGTCAAAAATCTGTTGTATAAATTTACACCCACATAATCTTAATAAATACTGAAAATATTTAATTTAAACTACTGGAAAGTGTTCTATCCCATTTTAGGCTCCCCTGGGCTCCCTTTTGCCTGAGGAAAGCCTTTGGGACCCCCAGTGGACTCGAGAGCCTCTGATATGCATAAAAATCACTGCTGGATTTTTATGCATAACTGGTCAACCCAAATCCACCAGTGGCAGTCTAGCAGTGTTTTTTCCCCTATTAAAAGGATTTTGCTTCCCCCACCCCACCCTGCAAGTCTCCCAAGGGCCTCCCCCAAGAAAAAGGGAGTGTGACCCCAATGAAAACTCCCCAGCTCCATTAGTGCCAAAGAGCAACTCTAGTGTGTGTGTGTCTGTCTGTCTTCATCAGGATCATATTCATGTGCTGAAGTCCTAATAAAAAAGTGCTCCTGACCCCAACACTAGAACAAACCTGGTCTGTGTTCAAGACACTGAACTCTGACTTCTGGTTTCCTAGATGCACCACTGCTGGTAAAGGGTGCAGGAAAACAACAAAAACAAAACTGTGTTGGTGTTGAAAAACTGCTTTTGCATCTGAGCCTATTTGGAACCAATTCGTATTTTTCACACTTGATGGAAGACAACGCCATCAATCAGAAGAAAATCTCCGTTTGCCCAATATGCCTCCAACACCATTCCAGTTCTGTGGGGACTTGGGGCGTGCAAAGTCATAAATACATGAGGAGAGAAGGAGAGAGAAAGGAGAGGGAGATGATGGAGCATGAACCCTGGCCAAGCTGGCTCCTCTCCTTCCCTTTCCCCAGGAGATATTCGCCAGACAATGCGTATTTCAAGTGGGATGCAAGAGGACATGGATGTCTTCCTGGGACATGAGCTTCAGTAAATACAACAGAGCACCTCAGAATAGTGGGAGAAACGGGAAAGGGCAAGGATGCGCCAGTCCCTCTTCCTGAGAGTGTTCAGCTCTGCTCGATTTTGGACTTTTCTGCCTGATGCTTGCAGAGCAGAGGCAAACCCATCACCATCTGGATGGCTAGGAATTCCACTGTGGGACTGGTGAGCAGGGCAAGAGCCTCCACAAGCCTCCTCATCCATTGCTTCTGGTTTTCCTCTACAAAAGGACAGCTGCTGGGGGGGGTGGCATTGCGGAGGGAGGTTGGCTGGGTTTGAGAGCAGATGCCCAGTCCATGCAGCCTGGCAAGGAGACCTTGGGCACTGCCTCCTGTGACCCAGAAAAGGCCAGGCTTCCTCCACCAGGAAAGCTCTGCTGAGAGACCAGCTCTCGCTATGGACATTTCCATGGTGTGGGAGCAGCTGTGCTATAGTGCGATCAGACAGGCAAGCAAAATCACATTGGATTGCACTAAAAAGAGCCCCTCGGCTAGGCGTGATCTTATTCAAAGTGATCCTTCTCTGTACATGCAATCCGGTCTGCATTGCTCCAGCCCGCCCACAGTCAGAGGAGCCCTGCCACTGAACATGAAAAGATCTGGATGGGCTTGAAACAGGGCTGTGCTGGCTCAAAATGTCTTGCAAATCCTCTGGAAAACAGACAGAAATTGTCTGTGCCAAAAGCAGTTGAAATGGTGAACCCTATTGCTGCCTGCCCCCTCTGACTGTTACAGCAAACCCAACTGGGATTCTGAGGGGACCCATACAGATGAAACGGACTAGTCTTTATAGTGCCACAAGTCTCTTGGTATTTTCAGCCCACAATGCTCAACTAGAAGCAGCCATTCCATCCAGATGCAAAAGAGAGAGAGAAAGGAGGGAGGACCCTTTTGGGCACCTCTGTTCCTTGTCAGCTGGTGACCAACACTTCCTCTGACTGTAGCAGTGTGGGGGGGAGAGAGCTCCCCCACTGGTTTTGCTGGAAGAACAGTTTTGCTGGAAGAACATTTGCTTGGTGCCTTTTCTGCCTCAACTCTGCCCATTCCAGCCAAATCATTCAAAGCGCCACCTCTTTAATGCTAAAAACTGGCACCTAGGTTTCCTTCTTTTCCTCTTCCATCCTGATCCCTTTTTTCTTTTGTGTCATGTGCCCTCAATGTTCGCTGTAAACTAGAAGCAACACCAAGGCACAGAACAACAACATTTGAGATGGTCAGGGTGGTATACCACTATGGGGTAATATATAAGCAACATGCATTTGCTTTTTACTCCATAGCGCTTAAAGCATTCTCTGGACAGTTTACAATTATGCAGGGTACATATTGCCTCCCCACCCTCACCTCAACAAGCTGGGTACTCAATTTACTGATCTCAGAAAGATGAAAGGCTGAGTTAACCTTGAGCCAGCTACTTGGGATTGAACCTGAGTCATGAGAAGAGTTTTGGCTGCAGTACTGCAGTTTAACCACTGTACCACGAGGCAGACAGACCACTGGAAGAGATTTAAAGAAATAACCTCATCGTGGAATGCTGATAAGCAACCACTTTGAAATATTATAAAATCAACTGTTCAATTGGTATGGAGCATCACCATTTCAAGAAAGAAAAGCCAACCCACCCCAGCATTGGACACAACAGGAATAGCATCAGGTTCACAGCAGAAGGGCATGGAGAGGTTTGGCAGGAATCCCGCCTTGCTGCATACAGAGACAGGCAGGCAGGGAAGAAGATGCCCATCTCTCCCATTTTCATGTGAAATGCCCTTTTCCTTCTCTGCCTGCAAACGCTGACGCCCAGGACACGATGGGTGCACATGAGGCAGAGCAGCCTCTGGTGGAGTGACTGTTTGCCTAGGCGCCCGCCTCTCTGTTGACATAACGCTGATCTTTTACCTGGTTTGACCGCCTTCAGAACAGCCCGGGATGACTTCAGCACTGCCTCGTAGATGGCCCTCTGGTCAGGAGTGAACTTTCCGTTGGCTGGAAAGGTGCAGGTGATGTCTGAGCCATAGCAGTAATATTCCCCTCCCATGTCGAATAAGCTGCAGAGAGGGAGCACAGACAGTGGCAGAAATGAAAACGGGCAGCTAAGCAAGCTAGGTGAGGGCTGGGGAACAACGCTAAACCCCAGCTGAAAGCTAAGGTTTGAGCAGAACGTCAGCCAAAGTAAGTCTCTCAGTAGCAGCTGATCGGTGACATTCCTCTGCTTTCTAAAGCCCTATTCAGGCATTGCCCTAGCTGGTACTGTGAAGCCTAGTACCATCTGTCACTGCATTTAAAGAAACTGTTTCAGCCATATTACATGTGAGCAGGACCCTTCTCCTGAGACCCAAATGAAATCATGAAGAACATGACGATGTGGAAAGAGACAGGGCTAAACGTTCCCCTCTAAGTGCATCCAGAGCACCAAGTAGTGTAATCAGTGAATAGGACTTAACCTGCAATGTTTCCTTGTTGAGAAAGCGGTCAAATAATGATCCTTAAGGTTTCTACTGCAGCACATTTTTTTAATAGTGTTCCAAGGACTTCACATTTACATTTTCCCAATTTTTATCCATGTTTCTGATATACGCCTGACTCACCAAGGTTGCCTGACTCATGTGGATGCATGACAACACTCTGATCTGAACAGTGGCAGGGAAAGCTACTCTTTTTGGAGGGTGAGTAAACGACACCCCAGGCAGGGAGGATGGCCATCTGTCAGGTAGGGTGATGGTGGTTTGGACTAGACCCGTGGTTCTCAAACTGGGGTCCCCAGATGTTCTTGAACTGCATTTCCCTGAAGCCTTCCATAACTTGCTGTGCTGGTCAGGATTTCTGGGAGTTGCCCTCCATGAACACTCTTGGTTTCCCAAGTTTGAGAATCACTGGACTGGATAACTGTAGGGTCCCCATTCTATCTCTGTAAGTCTGTGATCAGGAGATCCACTCAGCTATACTACTCAGATGTCCAGGCCAGCCCTTCCCCTCTTTGGATCTCTGTACAGGAGAGCCAGAATAGTAAGCTGATCAAACAAGCCAAGGTTAAAGAAGTAGGGCAAAAGCAAGGCTTCTGATGATTGACGTTGACTGCAAATAGTGTCATGCCCAATACATGTGTGGATAAGGTCACCAACAGTCAGGATTTGTTCATAGGCAAGCCTTCAATTCCTCCTCCTTTTTAGAACTATCAAGACATCTTGTAATAATATATCTTGTTATCAATACATCTTCTATATTGCAGAAAACCATCCCAGTATGAATTTCTTTGTCCATGAGAAAAGACAAATATGCCTAGACGTTTGCTGTTTTTCAAAGAGATGACAGTCCAAAAAGGACTGTGACAGGAGGAGAAAAAACTTTCTGTAAAGTTAGGAAACAGAGAGAGAGAGAGAGAGAGAGAGAGCCCGACACATAAGTTTGCTCTGAGTCTAGCGCTGTCTCAGTTTTGAAAGAAAGATGCTATGTCAGCTTTAACCATGAGATGGCAATGTTCACCAGAAATACTTGGAAGTTGTTTAAGAATGCTATGCCCCCATGGAGGATGCACAAAAGCAAGCCAAATAAGTGATTGTGAACCTCAAAAAATGATTTTTTAAAAACCATTTCTAACAGTTCTAAATACTGCAGGTTTTATTGGTGTGCATGTGTGTGTGTGTCTTTCTAGATATGCACAGAAGTGAAAACCCAGTGTTACAATAAAATCTTATTAGCCATATAGAAACCAACTATTCACTGTGGGTTAAACCGCTGAAGCCTCTGTGCTGCAAGGTCAGAAGACCTGCGGTTGTAAGATGGAAACCTCGCAACGGAGTGAGCCCCCATCGCTTATCCCACCTCCTGCCAACCTAGTGGTTCGAAAGCATGCAAGATACAAAAATGCGAGTAGATAAATAGGTACCACCTCGGTGGGAAGGTAAACGGCGTTCTGTGTCTAGTCATGCTGGCCATGTGACCACGGAGGATTGTCTGCAGACAAACGCTAGCTCTATGGGTTGGAAAAACCTTTACCCACCACCGCCTAGATACGACTGGACAAAATTGTCAAGGGGAACCTTTACCTTATTTTAAAGAATTGATTGACCATATTTTAATGCAAATCAAAATTTTGAAGGCGAGAAGAGACCATACAGAAATTTTAACTGTTAAGTGTGTGTGTGTGTGTACATACACTGTGTATGATTTGCTTATGTTTTGCACAGCTGAAGGTTTTTTTTCCTTTTTAAATAAAAACTTAGGGTTTCGTCCTGGCTTTATATTTATTGTGGACTGCTTTGAATATCTAGTTGGATGGGAAGACAAATTAAGCACTATGTCAATTTAACAAACAGCAAGATTATAATACCATTAAATTAGGTTTGCAAGTGTATTTCCATGTTTAGCTTTTTTGCCAAGGCACATCTCAAACAGACTGCTACACTTACCTGGCTTGACAGAAAATCAGAGAGACTTCTCAAATCATGCTGGACTGTAGCCTCTAGACTTTAAGTAATTATAGGGCCATCAATCTAAAACTCAGGGCCAGCCCAAGACATTTTGCTGCCTGAGGCCAGGAGCAAGGTAGCACCTCCTCGCTCATTTCAGGTCCAAAAGTTAATTGGATGACCCGAGGAATTTTTCTTCCTCACTGGCTATAAGAGCATCCTCCCTCAACTCTGAAGGCAGAAGGATGATTACGAGGGAAAGGCATGGCTCTTTCTTCCAGCTTCTTGCTGGTGCTGGGAGTGCCTCACTTTGCCCAGTGGGAGGGCCGGCTCTATCCCAATTATGCATGGTGATGCTTCCACTGAAATGCAGTGGGGAAATGTATGGGCACATGAGGTTTGACATTCAGGAGAAGCCACACAAATAGGACCCTGAGAGCAGGTTCTGCAGCCTGTCCAGGAGGATGTGCGTGCATGCATGCGCGCACATGCATGCATTTTTAAAAATATAGGTTGCTTAAAACCGAGCAGAATAAACCTATCTTAATTTAAAGCAACACAGCCATATAAACCCAGTATCTTCTTAATATAAGAAATTAAAAAGTAGTTCAATATTACTAACTACATCTGATTTATGTTTCTTCTAAAATCCCTTGATATCAGGTAAAGCATGGGGAAACAGAGTACCCAATTTTACATGAAAGGAAACTAAATTCCCATTATTTAAAATGCAACACTGCCCCCAAACGGACAAATAAATTTTCAGCCTGGCCATTTAATTGCTCCAGAAGGGTGGCTGCAAGGATGCAACTCAGAAGCTGATCATGAGACATTGCAATTTGGAGACTTTTCTAGATTTGCGTGGGTTTGGACCCCAAGTGTGACTGAGCGCGAAAGAACAGATAGTAAGGACCAGTTTTTCTGGGCTGGGGGGAAAAACAGCTGCTGTTGCCAAAGGAAAGGGTGGTATATAAATCGAATGAATGAACAAATGGATGGATGAATGAACGACTAAATAAAGGCGGTGTAGTTCTAACTGAAGCATTTGTGATGTTTGATGACTAGCCAATGATGTTCCTAAGCCAAATCCACTGCGGATGCCTGTGGGGCAGAATACAACCAATATTTGTGCCCTCCCCATGGTCATCAGCATCCTGACAGGCAGAGTTCTCCTCCGGCCAGAGAAGCTATGAAGCCGGTGGCACAAAAAAGGCAGGCAAGAGTTAGCATCCTTGGGTTAGTGAGGTCTCCAAAAATAAGCTGGCTTTTCAAATAGGCGGACACAGGTGGTTAACCTCTTCCCGCTAAAGTTGGCACTTCCACCTCTAAATCCCACAGTGGAAAGGTAGGATTCTGACTTTTCTGCTGAACCATCATCAGGAGTCTCCAAGTCCCAGAGAGAAATCCCAGCTTCAAAGAACCTGACATTTGTCAGAGCTGGGCCTCCAGCCACTAGTGACCTAGGAATGCAGGTGTGTCTGTATGTGTGTGTGTGTGTGTGTGAAAGAACTCATTGGAAGTGGAGGAAGGAGTGAAAAAGGCAGGAAGGCAGAGGAGAACGGGCAGTTGCCACCACTGTGTCCATCAAGCCACTTTCTAAGACTCAGAGTCATTGCAGCTGCCCCAAGGAGGCAACCCCGATGTTCCTCTGTAGGACGGCCACCGCACTTTGCTCCTTAGGGGAGGCCCTTCAATGAACGATAAGACTCATGGAGCGCATTGCCTGTTGTTCTGATATTGAGCTGATGCTCCAAAATTCCTGGCAAGGGACCATGGGACCCTGCATGGAGGCCCTTCCAAGCCCTGCTCCAGCTACCCATTTTATGGCTGCCAGGAGGGCACCCAAAGTTTGGTCCTGGCCTTGTTTCCTGAACCTTCTCCCCGTAGGTGCTTCTTCTCTCCAGTTCTATATCGTTACAGTCACAAGGACTAGGAAGGTGGCACATTCCATGTGTATACACTGGCAAAACCCAGACGAAGTGGACATGCAGCATTACTATTTAGCTGGCTTGCTGAGCATTCATTTAGGAAACCTCTCCGGAGACATCGACAGTATCTACTGGTGCCTTTTTTCTTGGCTCTCAGAGACCCGGAACCCAGCGTTGGGCACTAGGCTGCTTTCCCACGGACCGGGTTTCAACTCTTCTTCATATGAGGGACTGACCTGCTAGGAAGAAGAGTGTCCTTTGCTTCACCTTGACTTAGGAAAAACAACTGCTTTCCACGTGCTTAATTTAACATTATATCACTGTGAACACATGTTTATATATGCCTATTTTTAAAATATATCTATATTTGTATCTATGTATCTCTATAAAAACTATAATTTAGTGCTATTGAACAAGAAGGAGCTTTCTTTATTTGCATTAGAGTGCTGCACAACCTAAAATAAAGATGTATATGAAATATAGATAAAATTTTAAAAAGATAATTAAAATATTTTTTTATCAGAAGTGGGCTACTTCAACAATATTATCTTGACAACTTGCTAGATCTTCATTTGTTCACGTGGTGCGGCATACATTGCATGGACATGAGTGCAGCATTGATTGAATTTCTCCAGTCTGAGCATTAAGGCTTTGAAACTCAGTATTTTTTTTTTAAAAAAAGACAAATCTAAACAGAACATGTACATGTTTACCAAGCTGCACATTTTTCATCATGCTCAAAACAGTATTAATATTCTGCAAGGCAAGAATATACATTAGAAAAAGATTATCTGCTTTGGGCAAGACAACCTGCCAAACAGAGCTTATACGATGTTGAATTTCCTCTTGAGTGTGGTTATCAAAAGCAAATGAAGGACAGCACTGCATAAAAAGGCCCGACAGTAGATCTAAGACCTCCCTGTATGCCACTCCTGTCTTCTTCTGGGCCACGGAGCATTTGCATGAGTGCGCGCACACACACATACCAACACGAGGAAGAGACAGCCTTGATCCTCAAGTGGGTGAAACTGCTTGGCCCCTCTGAAGTGCAATAGGGGCCCTGCTGGTGTATTTTGGAGAAATCAATGAACCAGAATAAACCAAAACTGTGTGGCAGCAAACAACAGCTAATAAAGAGCAACACTACGCACTGAATGATTCAACAAGAGTCGTTGCTGAGTTCAATGTGGGGGGAACAATTCTGCCACTTTAAGGGTTGTCTTATGTTGAAGCCAAGCTAAGCCCTGCACTAATTCACAAGGTCTATGTTGTGGAGAAAAGAAGGGAGAGAAGAGGCACTGAGAGATGTTGGAGAACATGAAAACACAGGAAGGTGCCTCATGGACACACTCTTTGTTTCAGCTCAATACTGTTGACTCTTATTGCGAGAAGACAAGATTCCCGCAGGGGGAAAAAAATAATGCTTGGAAAAGATGAAGGCATCAGGGAAAGAGGAATACTGAAAATGTGATGGAGTCATTCAGTCAAGGAAGCCATGGCTTTCAGTTTGCAAGACCTAAGCAGGGATGGTAGTGGGAGGACCTTGGTGTGTGTGTGTGTGTGTCATTCATTGATGGGGTTGCTTGAGGCTGGAAGCAACCTGGCAGCACATAAGAAGAAATCTCCTACTCCAATGTGTTTTTGAAGTTTGAAGGAGAGAAAAGATTTTCCCCATCGTCTTTTACCTGATCTATTAAGTGCGGGGGTTGAGTTTCCTTCACACCCTTCATTCAGTTGGTGATCGTTTCACCAATGGAAACAAATTCCCCTTATGCCAGATATTTGTAAAGGGTACGAAGAAACTTTAGGGTCAAATGCAACCTTATAGAAGTCCATGGCTTATTCAGCACATGATATATAGGACAGTCTCCTTCAGACGAGATCAAATAAGGTAGAAGGCGGGACCCATGCAAACCTTGAGGTCTACAACTCATGTTTCAAAAGGCACCAGGTTTTGCTTAGGAGATTCTTTCTTTTAAAAGGATCAGGTACTTTTATGCAGTCTGCCTCAGGAAACAGATGTACAAACAGTCATAAAGAGAACAAAGCGGGCTGTTCCTACATGAATTCTTTTGCTTCGCAGTCATAACATAGCATCCCCTTTAAACTTTTTTTTTCCTTGTAGCTTTGAAAGATCTGTGCGCGTGGAAGTGGAAAATACAGACCTAAAATTCCTGGATCACATCAAGCCTGAATTACCTCTGGAAGCCAAAAGGACAAAACGGAGGCTGTCCTACTTTGGGCACATCCTGAGAAGGCAAAGGATTCTCTGGAAAAGACCGTCCTGCTGGGAAAGGTGGAAGGCAGCAGGAAAAGAGGAAGACCAATGTAAGATGGATGGACTCCCTAAAGGAAGCCATGGTTTCGGGTTTGCAGGAACTGAGCAGGGCTGTGGAGGGCAGGGCATTTTAGAAACTGATTGTTCATAGCATTGCCATGTCGGAGGAGACTTGGTGGCATGTAACAACAAATATTTGTTTTGCAAGGAACACTGCACATGCCACTACTTTTCAGTTCAAGATCGTTCCTGATCTTTTTGGGGAGGAGAGGGCAAAGACCCACCATAATTCATTATCAAAAAATATGCCAAAGCTATACTTGAGGTTTTGGAACATTCATTTCGCAAACTGCTCTACTCCTATCTTTTGCCATGGCTGAATTGCATTTCCGCGCCTGGCCCAGCCAGCACTTCTCTGAGCTTTCCGACAGAGGACTCCCCTGAGCCATTAACTGCTTTTCAGAGGAACGGAGCAGATATATCTAAGTAGACACTAACTTTGTTACAGCTTTATGAGTGCACAGGTGCAAATAACATAATTTCTACTGGGAAATACAGCTCTTTAAAATATCCCAGGCTACCAAATTAGCTCAACAAGTCAACCAGCTGCTAAAGTAGTATTTAACTTGATTATATGAAGTTGAACTTTTGAGAGATGAGTTGGATGCGAGAAAGAGCCTGGCCATCTTTTGTGCATGGAAGTGGGAATGAATGTTCTATGATGGTTCAAATCCTGTCACATCGCTCTGCCTGCACAGCAAGAATGAGATCACCAGTGTGGCAGACTGCTGCTGATTAAAAGCTTCCTTTTGTGGTTATGGGGTGCACACAGCTTCTACAAGATGCGACAGAGTTGCATGCATTCCAAAACCACAAAATCGAGCCTTTTATCAATGCCAATCTGACTAAATCTATTAAATTTCCACAGCAGCAAATGCCATACAAACAGAAAGCAGACAAGTTCTAGAATACAAGACTGACCCGACTCTCTATCCAGGTGAAGCCAAACCACTTGAGATGGCAGAATTTATGTCGTGGTGAGATGAAGGCAGGAACAATACATGAAAATTGTGCAATGGGATCGGTAGCTCTAGCAGCTGGATGTTGGGGAGAAACAGTCGATACGTTGCTTCAGACAGCAAAATGTCTTGGTTGGCCACAATGGATGGCAACATGTAACTCCTATCTGAAGGATCAATGCAAAGAAGTCTCCTAGTTGCAGAACTACACAGAGTAAGAGGATGCTGGAAATTCTGCTGCTTAGCATAGTAAGGCACAATAGGGTTGGCCCGTTGAATCATTGGAGATTTGGTGAGTCAACTCCACCATAAATTCCAATTATAGTAGTTGTGACTTACTATAGTAAACAACAGGATTTCAGTGCTGAATGTTGTGTCTATCAATTTAGGGACATTTATATTGGCTCCAGAATTAATTAAAAAACAACATCTGGATTACTGAACAGAGCATCATTTTTCTTTTCTAATTAAGTTTTGGGCAATGAATTGTTCCAGCAGAGGTCTTACTCACCATAAGTCTCCGTCTTCAATGGTCTTTTCATTTGGTGCTCCAGCATGTCCATAGTGTAAAACTGAGCTATTGTGTCCACTGAAATAAAGACCAGAAGGACAGAGGTGTGAATGAAGAACCTGAACCCTGAGAAAGGGACAGAAAAAAACATACTGCAGAACACGAGAGAGGGATATCCACACGGGTTTGGAAACAGACCTGTGCAGGTATGAATTAGACATTACAGCAACGCCATTCATTTTCCCTTTGGGAAAAAAAATACAATTAAAGAAACTCGCCCTTATTGGGGGAAAGGTGGCCTATAAATAAAATAAACACACACATAAATAAAACTAATTAAATATCTGAAAAGACCATTTCCTGGGTTAGGATCAAAGATGGCTAAAGGGGAGCAAACAGATTTGCGAATGGGGTGATTAGATTCTGATATTATCATCCAGTTCTGTCACAACCAATCCTTCCAAACGCTGGGTGTGTAGGAGGTATGTGTGCGTATTTGCGTGTGTTGGGGGGGGTTGTTTTGGGAATCTTCTTGCAGCAAAAACCATCAGGAGCAGGATTATAAATCAAGAGGAATTGTCCTAATTGGTTCCTCTTTCCTCATTTTTTCTCTTTAATATTAACTTATATTTTTTAAAAAAAGAAAAGAAAACTAAGCTTTTTTTGGCCAAAAGAGAATAGAAAAGTCCTTTTGCTCTGACAGGTCCCAGGGAAAAAAGTGCTGAATCACAAAGCCAGCAGGAAACGCAGGTGCTCGGTCTCCACATCTGACAATTCCTATGATCCATTGGGTGACCTAGCTTTGATTCTGCCATCTTTTGCTCCGTCTGCTGCGATTCCTCCGAGGTCCACCGACTGCCAAGTTGGAAAAAGAAAATTCAAGCTTGACTGATGATATTTTATTCTTCTCAGGTAAATGCTTCTCACTCTTTAAAACTTCGAAGGAGGGAGGGACGGACGAACTCTCATAGTCAAATCTAATTCTTTGCCTTTTTTTTTTTTTAAAGAAGGGGGCTATCACAGCATCCATCCAGCCTCTTAGCCTCAGCTGTCAGGCAAAGTTTAGCATGTTCAGCCTTGACTCCAGCGGAGTGACTCTGTCCAAGGTGGAAACTTGCAATAGGCACAGAACCTTTGCAGGGCAGAGCCCAAGGTCTCTCTTAATTCTACAGGAGGGTCATTTAGAAAAGAAAAAAAAAATATTAACTGATGAAAAGCATTTGAATGCACAGCAGGAGTTTTGCTCCATGTCACCTATTTTGCAAATTAGCTTCTTTTGTTCCATGATGGGCCTGGAGGATGTATGCATGGGACACCTCTGAAGCCTGATCTCTCAAAGTCACCCTGAATGGCATCCTTTCAACACTTAACTTGCATTCTGCTCTAAAAAGCTACCCTCTATTACCATCTCCATGCAATAATTGGAGGTTGTTCATGACTTTGTATACCTTGGCTCAATGATCTCTGACACTCTCCCTAGATGTCGAGCTGGATAAGTGCATTGGCAAAGCAGCTACCATGTTCTCTAGATTCACAAAGAGAGTATGGCTTAATAAGAAGCTGACGGCATAGACCAAGATCCAGGTCTGTAGAGCCTGTGTCCAGAGCACACTTCTGTACTGCAATGAGTCCTGGACCCTTAGTGCATGGCAGGAGAGGAAGCTGAACACATTCCATACGTGTTGCCTCCGACGGATTTTTGGTATCACCTGGCGGGACAAAGTTCCTTATAGAGTAGTCCTAGAACGAGCTGGAATTCTTAGCATGTATACATTACTGAAACAGCGACGTCTACGTTGGCTTGGGCATGTCGTGAGAATGGTTGATGGCTGGATTCCATAAGATCTCCTGTATGGAGAATTAGTGCAGGGAAATCGCCCCAGAGGGAGATCACAGCTGCGATACAAGGATATCTGCAAGCGGGATCTGAAGGCCTTTGGAATGGACCTCAGTAGATGGGAAACTTTGACCTCTGAGCGTTCAGCCTGGAGGCAGGCAGTGCATCATGGCTTCCCAATTTGGAGAGACCCTTGTCCCGCAGGCCAAGGTGAAGAGGCAGTCCTGAAACCAGCCAAATCAGAGAGCTGGACAGGGGGCAGACTGTATTTTTCTTCAGTGTGGAAAGGATGGTCACTCTCAAATTGGCCTTCTCAGCTACACTAGACACTGTTCCAAGATCTCTGTTCAGAGCACGTTACCATAACCTCTCGAGGCTGAAGGATGCCTTCACTCTCCTGTAACATCAACCCGTGCCTTAATGCCTCCTCTTCCTAGAAAGCTGCCTACCATGATCCCGGCCATTCATCTCCTTTTCTCCAGGGCTAGAGGGCAATGCTCAAGAGGGGGCTGACAAGAATATTTAATGAAGATAAATATTTGTTGCAGTTTCTCACAAGGCAGTTGTACTTGCAGCAAATATAGAAAAGCTACTGGAGGACCTCATTATATGTTTGAAGGATGATCGGCTCGATTTGATCTGTTACCAACTTGTTTGTCTTTCTGGTGGCCCAGGGTATCCATAAAGCCCTTCTCCTACACCACATTTAAAAACAGAACGATTCTTCCCCTGCCTTTCAGCCTTCTTCCTTATCCAGCTTTCACAACCATGCACAGTAATCAGCAAAAAAACATATTGTCGATGGTCTTGGTCTTCCGTAGCAGACCCTTACCCTGAGAGATTGCTTCTAGCTCCTCCATAGCTGCACTCCCAAGTCACAATAGGAACTTTGGGGCTCATTTTGACAGGGGATTGGGTCAGGTTATAGGAAATCTGTAGCAATTTCAACTTCTTCATTGCCAACCTTCAGATTGCATAGTCATGATCTTAATGTACGATGGCAGTCCTGCTTTGGCTCTTTTCTTCTTTCACTTAAAACTGTTTCAAGTGACTGCTCTTTCTACTAGTGGGTATTGTTCCATGCTATCAATGCCCCTCCTCCCATTTATAAAAGCACCCTCTCCAAACGCTCCTGCTCAGCTCTTGTAAACTCAAGCCTGTGGCTTCCTTAGGGAGCCAGTCCATTTCCTATCTTCCTCTTTTTTTTTCTTGCCTTCCACATTTCTTATCATGATGCTCTTTTCCAAAGAATCCTGCCTTCTCACGATGGGCCCAAAGTTGGGCAGCTTCAGTTTCAGCATTTTTGCTTCCAGAGACGGTTTAGGCTTGATTTGATCTAGGACCCCCTTCATCTTTTTTTGTTTAGGAACCCTGGGCATATGATTCCCATTTGCAGTCAACTCAGAGAATGCAATTATTTCACTATTACGCCTGCTTTGATCTTCCGAATATTGCCACTGTGGCACTTAATGCAAGAAACAGCCCTTTAATCGAAAACATATCACCACCTATCCAGATTTTTAATCTGAAATGAGCCAACAACACACTCGTGTTTCTGAGCTAGTGTAAGTTATTACTGAGGAACAGGATGGCTGTTACCTTGGAGATGCACAGAATTTAAAAAGGGAGCCCGGCTCCTAAATGCAATCTCGGTCTAGCCTGAAACACAGGAATTAGCAAGACTGAAAAAAAGCACAGTAGCCCACCCTCTTTCCTTGGGACAGAGACCAAAGGTTTACATTTTGTTTTTAACAAAAGCTATGTTTGGTCTGCAATTAATTAATTTATGACTGAATCTTAAAGACAAAGCCTATCAGGCCAAATCCAAAGAAACAAAAGGAAAAAATACAATAAGCCAAATTACTGTGTGTAAATCTACCATAGACCCAAGAGCCAATGAATATTTAGTATAAAATTGATATTTCATTCCGCATTTAATTCTGTTTCCACATGTCTGACGAAGTGGAGTTGATCCACAAAGGTTTGCATTAAAACCATAATAGTTCGTATTTAAGGTGTGACAAGTTTTGGTCTTTTTTTTAAATCTTTTTTCGTTTCTTATTTTGGATTTTGCTTGATACAGACTAACACGGCTACCTCTTCCAAAACTTAAAAGACAAAGCATGTGCTATGCATTTAAGACCTGAGAAGTTTTTTTTAACTTACAGCAGCAAAGTCCTTTGCTTACCATTCACTTCCTAGATCTTTTGGATGGCACCTCCCTAAAATAATCCCAGATCCCTTACTAGCCATGTTGACCTAAGCGTCCGGACGCTGAACTCCAAATACACCAAGGAGGGCCAAAGCTTCCCCATCCTGATTTACAGAGTTGATCTGCTGTTGTTCTGCAGTATAAGGATTTTAAAGATGGGCCTACAGTGAGTGGGTCCCTGTGACTTTGTTAGGATAAAACCAGGGCTGGATGGCCCATACATTAAAAAAAAATCCTTTCTGCCTCCTGTGCAGGATCAGCTTCTGTGACCTTTGGATTTATGAAGGCTGATATGATCTTCACGGCTGTAACTTTTTTTTTTTTTGCTATGATGTGAATACAATTCAGACCATTACTAATTAGGAGTTGGAAAACGAAGAGAAAATTAAAACTGTCAGCCTGTATTAGAAGTAGATTCCCAGTGGGAGACGGGTGTGAATGGGATGGAGCAACGCTGCTCCCCGCTTGGCTGCCTGCAAAGGAAGATCGCAGCACCCGTGTGTTCCAGCGATTCAGCTCGACTTTTAATTGCACAATTATTGGGTTATGCAATATTTTCAGACTGATTACATCAATGCGAAAGAAAATAAATTATCCTTCTGATTAGTCTGCTGTCCCTTTGGGTGGCTTTTTTACTTTGATAGCTGCACCAGGATATGGATTCTGGAATCATAGTGATTTTTTAAAAATGTATGGGATTCTAAGTGTAATTAACCCCCCCCCCCCTCCTTCAGATGCTTAAGGATAACTTTGGCTAGAGAGTGGTACACTTTCTCAAACAGAAACCTTGCATATGTAACATACTGCACGAATAGAAAGTAAAAGCTGTATTTTTAAGACAATGTGTTACATCGAGAGGGGGTATGACTCTGTAACCGTCCTCTGTTATTGCTCCTGCTGACGGGACGTAGAGGAACATCACAACTTTATTTATTTATTTGGAGGCTGCAGGGCAGGTTCTTGCCTGTGTGGGGGCTGCTCCACCAGAGGTCACATGTGGCCTTTGTGCAGAGCTGCAAGTGCTTCCTACACTGACACCCGGTAGAAATTACAGCCCGAGACACCGCGAGGACCTGACCAAGAATGCTGGGCCAAAGTTTTTAGCATTCAGTGAGAAGTCAGTTCCAATAAACAGCTGCACCGAGGCCCCATGCTCGGAACTCTATCGTAAAATCTGGGTAGTAGTATAAATCACCTGTCCTGGGAGACAATGGATAGGAAAGAAACGAAGACACAATTGCTCTCTAAGAGAAATGGCACAAAATCCGCACATAATAAATGTGCATCCAATCTTTCATGAAACAATAGGGTTTCCCCCCCCCAGTAGAAGCTACTGCTCACCTCGGTTAGGACCATATGCGTTTGTCTTAGCTGTACAGTCTGAAAGGTGTGGAACCGCAGTGAAAGTAGTAATTAGCAGAACCATGGATGGTTTCTGTCTTTCATGACCTGGTTCACTTTGGATACGTCAGGGTTCTTCTTGGGACAGCTGTTGGGAGCTCTCCCTTAGCTTAGCTTTTCCTACTGGGTTACTCTTCTAATAATAATACTTGTGCTTTCTTTCTCGCTGAATTCTGCTTCTTTCTCAGGAGGCCCCTTTGGCTTGCCATAAGAACAGGTCTTTTTGGCATCCAAGGGGGTTCCTGGATCTTCTTGCTTCCTGTTTTTGCTTCCATCACTTTCTAGCATGAAGGAAGGCCTAGACCACAAAAGCCCCCAGTGTCAGACTGGCTGTAGTCATCCTCTCCCTCCGCCTGGGGCCAAGGAAATGGATGTGCACTGGAACAGCCCTCGACCTGTATCTCCACAAACTAACAGTGTTATGTTAGTCATCCTCTCCCTCCGCCTGGATGTGCACTGGAACAGCCCTCGGCCTGTATCTCCACAAACTAACAGTGTTATGCTTAGTCTCCTCTTGCGTGAACTGACTTTCCCTGCATCCATTTACCACCACAATATCCAACAAACCTAATGTCATACTTTTTCTTTCTGGTACTTTGTCCTTCATCAAGCCGTTTTCAGCCATCTGTTTATACTGAGGCCTCAGCCCAGCCTCCAAATTAAGGCAGGAGCTAAGAGGTTGTGCTGTCTCCTTACAAACGTGCAGAAATGAACTAAATGAACAGTTGTCATGCATTTCTAGGGTGACCGGTGGGTGGAGCAGAGGGCCTAATGGCAGATCCTTCATCTCAAATCCAGCCTTCACACATTAGGGCACTGCCCATCCCTAACTGAAACCGTGCTAGTTGCCGCAACAGAAGTGACCTGTTGTTTCTATGCAGGTGTCTCCATTTTCTCTCCACATATTCATCAAAGAGGTTTAAGTCATTGGTCTAGGCCACGGATTTCTCAGAATGTCTTGTATCTTGCTTTTCAAGATACAGATCCTTCTGAGGCAGCCAACAAATGTCCGAATAGGTTAACGAAACCAAAAGAAACTACCTTAAAAAAATAGGGATGTATACCTTTACTTGTTTGCTTTGAGAAGGAAACGTTTCAGAGGTTTCTTTCTCCTGCTGATGAGCGGATGCCAAGAGATCTCTGGAGGCGTCTTTTGCAAAATACCAACCAATCAATAAAAATAAAATCCAAAATCCAAATCAAGGGAGTCGTTTTTGCACGAAAGAGAGAACACTTCTTTCGCTTTGTCTTGTTCTTGCTTTGGAGGCATTCCTGCCATGTCAGCCTAGAATAAGGAGCGAATGGGAAATGGGCAGAGCTCCCCGGTCTGGGCTTGGGGTTTTCCAGTGGTTGGGAAAGAGCTGGGCTTGTTTCAGGGGCAAATTGATGCAAGACAGGGGAACCTACCTCCCCATTGTCGATCTGCACCAACAGAATGCCCCCCCCTCTCTATATATAGAGTCAATCAATTGATCACAGATTAAATTTGCATGAAACAATGTATTTGCTGATGGCACCACTCAGCCCTCCATGGGCATCTTTTTCTTCTGTCAGCCTGTTCAATATGTTTTGTAAAGACTCGCTAACTTCCATTTCCTCCTTTCCAGAAATATTGATCAGTGAGATGTTATTTTTATTGAACCAGCTTAGCAGCAGCAGCAGCTTTAAGTACAGCAGAGGCCGCCTCCACAGACCTCTTTACCAGGAGGAAGGGGAGCCATTGAAAAAGGGGTTCGAGGGACATTGGAGTGACTCTTTTAGTAGATCCCATTCTTTGACACACACCCCAATCATCTCCAAGCAGACATGAGGCCAAAGCAGCCGCACCCATACCCTTATCCCTTCCCTTCCCCATCCTATCCCCCTCAGCTGCTAACCCCTAAGCTCTGCCGTCAGCCCCCCAACCCACCCCTGTGCCTTCTACCTCTCAAGCCCGTTCCTCACTCCAGTTTCTTGTCTTCATTTGGACCCCAACAATGTGGTGTTCCAGTGGAAAAACACAGGCACTCCCTGGGATAGTTCCCAGAGCTAATCTCACCCCCCTTTTTAAGGGGAGTCCAAAAATACAGGGTGTGCTATTGGTCCTTGGTTGTTGTTTTTTTTAAAAGAAATCTGCAAAACAACAACAACCACCCTGATGAGCAGGTCTTTAGGAAAACGCTTAATGGCTCACTCAGGACCAAACAATCCTCAAGTATTCTTGAAGGCTTCCTCCCATGCCCAGTGTACTTTGCATTCCAGGAGGGCTACCTTGCAATGAGATACCTGGTGTGTGTTTTTTGTTTCCGGGAGAATCCAGTCTCTCCTAGCTACTGTGCAGATTTCATCTTAAGCTCAGAGGGGCGAACCAGAGGTTTAGAAAGGCACAGAGATATTGAAATCAATACTGTGGAAGGAGAAACAAACAGGCAAGCAAGGACCGGTCGGGAACCTGGCCAAACATCTTATAGAACGGGAAGCAGATGCCATAAATCCCACTTATGCCCAGGCATCTCTCATCTTGGACAGGACTTGTAACCCGAAATGTTATCTCTCCCAAATGCCTTCTGCCCTTCTCTTTCACAACGGGGCCAGAATTCATGGGGCTGATTATGCATTCGCAAGAAGACTGTGCTGGCAGAACTGCAAACTCTGAGGAAGAGTGAAAAATGCTCCGTCCATGGGCAAGCCGGAGCTGTGACAAACAGGCTTTCCTACAGGAAGGAAATCCTACAGTGAACATTAAGGTATCATGAAGCAGAACAAAGCACTTCAAGCGTGACTGGCAAAAAATGGGCTTTGTCCAAAACAAAATTCCACCTCGTCTCTTTCTCCTTGCCATCCCCACTGGGCATGGGCGGAAGCGGTTGATGGACAGAGAACATCACCGTGGGGTGGAAGACAGCTGGTGGCCTTCTGTGCATTCACTAGAGACCCAAGACTTTTATATGTGTCCTCCCCGCCCCCCGCCCCGAAACACACTCACTCACTGGCATCAAAACGGCAGGGAAATCGGTCTGCTTTGCATCATGCAAGGATAGTTTTCTTCATTTGAACTTCCTGAATCAATACGTGAATGAAAGACAGTTATACTGTGATGTCTGCACTGTATGGATTTTGCAGGACTTCCATTAAAAAAAACCCCAGTGTAATTAGAAGGTATATATTAAAGACAGTGACTGAAATGCAATAGCAAATGGCCAACTAGAGTCAGGCACATCCTCCTCATGTGCTCTCAAGTAAATCTGGATTTACGGTGACCCTTTTCCAAGGTTTTCCAAGTAGAGAGTACTTAAACATGGTTTCCCATTCCATTCATCTGGAACTGTGCCACTTGCACAAGACCATACAGCCTGGCTCTACTTCACAGGTGGCACGGGGGGGGGGGGAATCACCCCCTAACCAACTGACCGGCCCGNTGGCCAACTAGAGGATGCTCTTTAAATCCATGGAACCTACCTAGGTGTCGATTCATAAAATCCCCACTGTTTCAGTGGGTCTACCGTACTTGCAATATTCTACTGGATTTCAGCCAATGTGCAAAACATGGATGTATTAATGAAAACAACAAACTAACTCCCTTATATTAGAAGTTTGCATTGCGGGAAAAATGGACGTATTACAGAAAGAAGAAAAAATTGTTTATCATCAGAGAAGCATGCGTGAAATGTATATGAATTTTCATGTGGGTTTTTGTAATCAAAAACTGAAGGAGAGAATGAAATAATATTGAGTTTGTAACACAACTGATCCATTTTGCCATTCCTGCGCGCTGATGTATATTGTATGAAACAGAGACTATATTACATTCTCTTTGTCTTCCCTGTCTGTGTACTTAGGAAATATTACCCCAAACAGCCTATTGTCTCTCTTCTTCTTTGATTCTTCCACATCAACTTTTCCCTTCATTTAGAATCAAAGGTACATATTACCATTGCTCAGCCGGAATCAAAAGATGTATGTGAGTCATAGATAATACAAATTCTGCATCACGGTAGGTTTGACAATATTCACTGTGGAAATTTCCCATGGGACAAGCGTGTTAGTCTGAGAATGTTTATCCTGGAGAAGGGAAGCCTGAGAGGAGACATGAAAGATGCCTTCAGAGATCTAGAAGAGCTGTGAGGTGCAAGAGGGAGCCAGCAGGATCCCAACCGGCAAAGGGGACCTCCCATAACCACGAGGAGGAACTTCTTGGCAGTGAGAACCGTTCAAGAGTGCAGTGGATTTCCTCAGAAGGCAGTGGACTCTCCTTCATCCAAGGTTTATCAGCAGAGCTTGGATAACTTACCTGTCAGTGGACAATCCCATGCATCAGCAAGGTGAGGGTGGACTGCATGACCCTTGAGATCTCTCCCAACTCTACAATATTATGATTCTAGTGACACTGAAGGGCTTACCTGCCACAGATGCATGTGTAGGAAGTGTGGCGCATTCCTCCACGTGTATAGCAATAGTGCTGGAAAAGGCTGTAAGTTAAAAAAAAAAAAAGGAAATTAAATCATGTCTTTGGAACCAGGCAGAAAAACAGCAAACAAAGCAAGACTGCAAAGAAAACCGGGACTTATTTATCCTCTGCTGCCTGGCTCTGAACACTGAGCTATCATCTCCCTTCAGCTTCTGAGCTTACTATGGGCTCGTAGGAAATATGGAGCTGCAAGATGAACCGAAGGAAGGAAACCGTCAACCACGCCAGCAAAAGAGTAAATCCATCCCCCAACTTTCAAAGTTTTCACGCCTCTGGAGTCAAATTATTAACCGTTTTAAGAGGACTGAGCGCTGAACACAACCCAAATAGGCCCCTCTGTATTCCTGACACACTCCATCCATTTGAAAGCAGCCAAGAAATATTCAAAGCAAAACCTCACACACATCAATAAAATCAAATCAAAATGCCAGGCTATTGGAGTTTGTCAGTGTAGAGGAAGGAATGCTCATAATGATGAAACTGGGCTTACCCTATGGCATTCGGAAGGAACGCAGAGGAAATGGAATGTGCAGAGGAAATGGAATGTGGTATAAAATTAATTGACACAGTTTGTTACAAAGGACAAATACCATAGAAAGACAGACAAATGTACAGTGGTGCCCCGCCTGACGATGATAATGCGTTCCAGGCAAATTGCTGTTAAGAGAAATCGTCATCAAGTGGAAAAAAAAAACCCCACTGAAATGCACTGAAAACTGGTCAATGCGTTCCAATGGGGGAAATACCTACTCGTCCAGCAAAGATCCTCCATAGGGGAAGCCATTTTGCATTGCTGTCTTCCGGAAATAGGTCCGGAAAACAGCGGGCAGCCATTTTGAAAACCCAACGATCAGCTGTTTTGAATCATCATAATGCGAAAACCGGTTCCCGAAGCAGGGAACTGATCGTCGTAAAATGGAAACAACCAATTGAATCATCATTTTGCAGTCGCTATAGCGATCGCAAAAACCTCATTGTCAAGTGATTTCATCGTCAAATGGGGTAATTGTCAAGCGGGGCACCACTGTATGTGTGTGTCCATGTGTTTTTCTGTGAAGATACACATACAGAAAATATACAAGCAGAACCTTTATAATCAGAGCCTCATGACTCAGTGGTTAAGCGGCAGTACTGCAATCAAGGCTCTGCTCACAATCTAGAGTTCGATCTCAGCAGGTTCAGGTAGCCGACTCAAGGTTGACTCAACCTTTCATCCTTCCAAGGTTGGCAAATTGAGTACCCAACTCACTGTGTGTGCGTAGGGGCAATGCACAGCCTGCATAATTAAATTGTAAACTGTCCAGAGAGTGGTTTAAGCGCTATGGGGTGGTATATAAGCAGCATGCTTTGCTTTTTTGCTTTTTTGCTTTTATAATCACATTTCATCACCTAAAACACAATACAGTTTAACAGGGACTCATGTTTCCATGTTCTGCTGACTGGCATTCCTTCCATCCTAAAACTCCTGAGGTCACTCCCAGAGAGCCTCCCATCAGGCAATGGTCGGATTCATGGCTGTTTATCTTAGGTTTAGGTTTGTTGCTGTTCATCCCAGTCCCTCAGGCTGAGACATACAACCGACTCCTCTTCAGCGGTTTGCTCCATTCGGAAGGAGAACGGACGGGGAAACAGAACCACCCCCATCAGTGCCCAGCTCCAGTGGTCAACAACTCTGCCTGCTTCTCTCCAAACTTTCATGGACAGCAATAGCCATAGAAACATCTGTCCAGATGCTCCTCGGGCAGCCCTCACGTCCAGTCACATTATGCGCTCCTTTGGACTTGCCACGCACAGAGTATGGGGAGGTTGAGTTGTGGGAACCTGTGAGGATATTCATACTGAGGGAGGTGAGAGAGAGGGTGTGAACCCTCTCCTCTTTCCAACTTTCCCATTTCTCTTTTAAATTAAATGCTATCGGGTCTTACAACGCAAGAGCTATGGGGAACACAGAGGTCTGGCTGCAGAGAGCTCTACTAGGTCATTCCTGCTTCATTGGGAGAAGCTACGGGAGCCTTGCCTCACCCCCCCCCTTCCTGCCCTGTGCCCCACACCTTCTGGCGACTTAACCTTCAATTGTCCCCTTGTTCTTGCTCTAAAACAGAGCCCCCCTCTGCTACTCCACACTCTGGCTTTCCTTCATTCTCCTCCAAGGCTACTCTTTCTCAGACGGCCATCATGAGTATCATTTGCACATGATTTTCATTTTGTGCAACTGACTCTCATTTTCTATAGCATGAAAGCTATAGAAGGCAGGACACCGATCCAGCATGTAGGTCTCTCCACACACGGCACTTTTGCTGATACTGCCATGTGCTGTCACGTTGCTTCTGATGTATGGCCAGCCTGTGAGAAATCCAGCATGTAGGTCTCTCCACAGGGACTGAGACCCACACGGCACCTTTGCTGATACTGTCATGTGCTGTCACATTGCTTCTGATGTATGGCCAGCCTGTGAGATATCGACCTCCTGAAGGTCCTCTCATTGACGGGCCAGCTCAGGTTTTGCAAACTCAAGGCGTGGCTTCCTTTGGGGACTCCCTGAGGGATACAGGGCATTTTGGAAGGATGCTTGCCTTTTCCCCTTTAAAAACTGCAGTCCCATCTCCCACATTGACTCATAATCTGCTTCAGGGAACTCCTTCGATTTGTAAAGTTGGTTGACTTCCCTAGTGCTGTGGGGCTGTTGCTCCAGGAGCAGAACCTCAATGTCTCTTTGGGGCCTTCTTTTTGTTGTTACTTCGTTGGTTTCTGGGCCAGATCTTTCCTCCTGCCTGCTGGTGCCACAGCCCAGGGCATAGGAAATGGATTTTGTGCTATTGGCCACAATTTTCATGGTGGCATCGTCATCGTGATAGCAGTCTCGTAGCACAATTGTTCAACCGCAGTACTGCCACCAAATCTCTGCTCATGACCTGGAGTTCAATCCCATGTAGCCGGCTTGAGGTTCATTCAGCCTTCAATTCTTCTGAGGTTGGTAAATACTGTTCACATTGGGACTTGCAACCATTACCACACCAGGGCTAAGATAGGGTGAAACACATGCCAAATATGCATCAAACCACACACACATGTGCATGCCCATCTTAATTTCCATCAGGTTAAAAAAATGGGGCATATATTGCCACTACTGGAAATTTCTTCTGTTGTTGTTTTTTTAAATCCCCTGAAACAACAACAGCAGCAACAACAAACGAACACTATATTCCACCACAAGTTGTAATTCTATCAGTTCAGCTCGGTTAGTTTTTATTGTTTAGCCACCGGCCATTGCGCAGTGTCAAGAAAGAGGAATGGCAATCACAAAATCTAAAAATCTGAAACCAAACCACTAAAATGAAAGGGGGCGGGGGAAGATTTAAAGTTCATTCAGCATCTCCAGCGCAATCAACTCCAATCTGCTTAATAAAAACAGATTGTCATTGGGTTAATCCCATTACCAATGCGACAGTTCTACTTGTTATCCTGAGGTCTTTATCAAAATGAGAGAAGAGGAGGAGAAAAAGCTAGCTTCTGGAGGTCAGACCAATTAGTGCCCTTCGTTTAAGACATCAGAAGGTGTTTTCCGCTTACAGGATGAGAATATTTACAGTCACAGAGAATAAAGCCCTTAGTTTGGCGGGCAGCTTACTCATTCTACTGGATCTAGCATACCAAGGCTGAGCTTCCCTTTAAGACAATGATCAGGCCTCCACACACACACACCCCACTCCGAGATTCTGCATCCAACATGTAGACTCTGTTCTCACATGTGTTGACATGAGAGATTTAAATCTCTGCCACTTTGCCGTTAAAGTGAGTCAGTAAAGAGGATGACACAGCCATGATGAGATGGGGGGAACTGGAGCGGAGAGACTTGATGATGGCACTCGTGATCTTTTAAGAAAAACAATTAACAAGTAACGTCTGAGGCCAAAATCCTATTCTCAGTCCCGGCAAGAGGAGGCCTATTGAATCCTTAAGTGTTGACTCAACATGCAGGCTGTTATTCTCAGTCCCGCAAGAGGAGGCCTATTGAATCAGTGGGATTTCCTTAAGTGTTGACTCAACATGCAGGCTGAATATGAAAGAGCCAATCCAGGAGTCGGAGCCCACTTAGCAGAAAAGAAACTAAAAAGGAAAATGCAGAACATATTGGCTAATAGGATCTAACTTCTGCAGCTGAGAATCTTTGCAAAGCAGTTACTAAGCAAGGTGGTAAAAAGCATTGCAAAAGGCCAGGTATCTACAGTCTATGGATGTCTCCTGGAAGAAACCTACAAGGAAATCATTGGACAAAACCAGCACAGGATCTTGGTCCTGCTACTATACAGAGAGCCTCTCATGGAACTACGCTACCCATGAAACTTTGCACTGACTCTCAGGCAGCCTCGCTCCACTGCCGTGAACGGCAGGGCTCTCTTCCTCTCCTTGAAACCTGAAATACATGGGCCAGAGTGGGATGGTGGTGGGAAAACCTCACTTCTGCTTTTTATTTGTGCTCTCCTACGAACAAAATTCTGCCCATGGAGTCCCAGGTGAATTCTGGAGATGGGCATCCTTGAAACACAAAAATACCATCCCGACAGGTTATGCATCAGGGCAATCAAGTACTGAGACACACCTATTTCTTTCAGGACAACTCATAACATCTCATGATCCACACAAAAGGTCTGATGTAGCCTATAAAGCATGGATTGATCTTCTTCCGAAATGGTTTGGTGCACTCCAGCAGGCAACGTATGTTTGCAATATGACTTCTAGTGCTTCTTCCTTTTCATAATTCAATTTGAATGTCTGGCACTTGTCATTCCTTATAAAGGCTAAAAATCTTTGCTGCGACACCTTGAGTATCACTTTGTATGGGAAATGAGAGTGATGGTCCTATAGTCACTGCACTCCTTAGCACCTCCTTTTTTGGGGGCTGGAATGTACATCAAACTTTTCCAGTCTGTAGGCCATTGTTTTTTGCTTACTATATCTGTTGGCATATTCTTGCAAGGAAATCCGTCCAGCTCTACAATA